TCTTTTTGATCTTTGTTGGCTTCAAGTCTGTTTTGTCTGAAATTAGGGTAGCAACCCCTGCATTTTTCTGATTTCCATTTGCTTGGTAGACTTTCCTCCGTTCCTTTATTTTGAGCCTGTGGGTGTCATTCCATGTGAGATAGGTTTCTTGAAGACAGCATACCATTGGGTCTTGCTTTTTTTTTTTTTTTTTCTTTGAGACGGAGTTTCACTCTTGTTACCCAGGCTGGAGTGCGATGGCGCGATCTCGGCTCACCGCAACCTCCGCCTCCTGGGTTCAGGCAATTCTCCTGCCTCAGCCTCCTGAGTAGCTGGGATTACAGGCATGTGCCACCATGCCCAGCTAATGTTTTGTATTTTTAGTAGAGACGGGGTTTCACCATGTTGACCAGGATGGTCTCGATCTCTTGACCTTGTGATCCACCCGCCTCAGCCTCCCAAAGTGCTGGGATTACAGGCTTGAGCCACCGTGCCCGGCAGGGTCTTGCTTTTTATCTAACTTGCCACTCTGTACCTTTTAAATTGGGCATTTAGCCCATTTAAATTCAAGGTTATAATAATAATAATAATAATTATTATTATTATTATTATTACTTTTTGAGACAGAGTCTTACTCTACTGCCCAGGCTGGAGTGCAATGGCATGATCTTGGCTCACTGAAACTTCTGCCTCCTGGGTTCAAGCGATCCTCCTGCCTCAGCCTCCTGAGTAGCAGGGATTACAGGGGCACACCACCATGCCTGGCTAATTTTTTGTATTTTTAGTAGAGACAGGGTTTCACCATATTGGCTAGGCTGGTCTCAAACTCCTGACCTTGTGATCCACTTGCCTTAGTCTCCCAAAGTGCTGGGATTACAAGCATGGGCCATTGCGCCTGGCCAAGGTTATTATTGATATGTGTTGATTGGATCCTGTCATTGTGGTGTTATCTATTTATTATGCTGACTTGTTTATGAGGTTGCTTTATAGTGTCACTGATCTGTGTACTTACCTGTGTTTTTGTATTTGCTGGTGTTAGTCTTTCCTTTCCATATTTAGTGCTCCATTTAAGATCTCTTACAAGGTGGATCTGGTGGTAATGAACTCCCTCAGCATTTGGTTATCTGAAAAGGATCTTATTTTTCCTTTGTTTAGGAAGTTTAGTTTGGCTGGATAGGAAATTCTTGTTTGAGGATTTATTTCTTTAAGAATGTTAAATATAGGTTCCTGATCTCTACTGTCTCGTAGGGTTTCTGCTGAGAGGTCCACTGTTAGTCTGATGGGGCTTCTCTTTGTAAATGAGGCATCCAAATAGGAAGAGAGGAAGTCAAACTGTCCCTCTTTGCAGACAACATTATTCTATATCTAGAAAACCCCATAACCTCAGCCCCAAATCTCCTTCAAGTGATAAATAACTTCAGCAAAATCACAGGATATGAAATCAGTATACAAAATCATTAGCATTACTATACACCAAAAACAGCCAAGCTGAGAGCCAAATTAAGAATGCAATCTCATTCACAATTGACATGAAAAGACTAAAATATCTAGAATACAGCTTACCAGGGAGGTGAAAGACCTCCACAATAAGAAGTACAAAACACTGCTAAAAGTAATCAGAGAAGGCACAAACAAATGGAAAAACATTCCATGCTCATAAATAGAAAGAATCAGTATCATTAAAATGGCCAAACTACCCAAAGCAATTTACAGATTCAATGCTATTTCTATCAAACTACTGCTGACATTCTTTACAGAACTAGAAAAAAGTATTTTAAAATTCATATGAAGCCAAAAAAGAGCCCAAATAGCCAAGGCAATCCTAAGAAAAAGGAACAAAGCTGGAGGCATCACATTACCCAACTTCAAACTGTATTACAGGGCTGCAGTAACCAAAACAGCATGGTACAAAAACACACACATAGTCCAATGAAACAATACAGAATCCAGAAATAAGGCTGCACACCTAAAACCATCTAATCTTCAACAAAGCCTACAAAAACAAACAATGAGTAAAGGACTCCCTAGTCAATGAATCATGCTTGGATAGCTGGCTAGCCATATGCAGAAGATTGAAATTGGACCCCTTTCTTACATCATATACAAAAATCAACTCAAGATGGATTAAAGACAAACATAAAACTAAAAAAACCATGGAAGATAAGCTAGGAAATATCATTCTGGACACAAGAACAAGCAAATATTTCATAATGAAAGATGCCGAAAACAATTGCAACAAAAGCAAAAATTAACAAATGAGATTTAATTAAACTTAAGAGCTTCTGCACAGCAAAAGAAACTATCAACAGAGTAACAACCTATAGAATGGGATAAAACATTTACAAACTATGCATGTGACAAAGGTCTAATATCCAGCATCTACAAGGAATTTAAACAAATTTACCAGAAAAAAACAACTCCATTAAAAAGTGGGCAAAGGATATAAACAGACACTTTTCAAAAGAAGAGATACATGCAGCCAAGGAGCATATGGAAAAAAGCTCAACATCACTAATAATAAAGATATGCAAATCAAAACCACAATGAGATGCTATCTCACACCAGTCAGAATGGCTATTAATAAAAAGTAAAAAAATAACAGATGCTGTCAAGGTTCTAGAGAAAAGTTAATACTTATATACTCTTGGTGGGAGTGTAAATTAGTTCAACCATTGTGGAAAGCAGTATGGCTAAAAATAGAACTACCATTCAACCTAGCAATCCCATTACAGGGTATATACCCAAAGGAGTATAAATAATTCTGCCATAAAGACATATTCACATGAATGTTCATTGCAGCACTAGTCACAATAGCAAAGATATGGAATCAACTTAAATGCCCGTCAATGCCAGATTGGGTAAAGAAAATGTGGCACATATTTGCCACAGAATACTATGCAGCTGTAAAAAAGAATGAGATCATGTCTTTTGCGGGAACATGGATGGAGCTGAAGGCTCCTTATCCTTATCAAACTAATGCAGGAACATTTTCTCACTTATAAGTGAGAGCTAAGTAGTGAGAACTCATGGACATAAAAAGGAGAACAACAGATACTGGGGCTTACTTACTTGAGGATTCAGGATGGAAGGAAGGAGAGGATCAGAAAAAAATAACTGTTGTGTACTAGGCTTAGTACCTGGGTGATGAAATAATCTGTTCAGCAAACCCCCATGACACAAGTCTACCTATATAACAAACCTACACATGTTATCTCTGAACCTAAAATAAACACTTTTGAAAAAAAGAAAATATTAAATGAAAAATTCTAGAAAAATTCATGCATTTCAAATTCTGTGCCTTTCTGAGTAGTGTGATAAAATCTTGTGTCATTTTACTCTGTCCTGCCCAGGATGTGACTCATCCTTTTGACCTGCATGTCCACTCTGTACACCTCCTGTTCATTAGTCACTTAGTAGCCAACTCAGTTATCAGATAGACCATAGGGTATCACAGTGCTCATTCAAATAACCCTTATTTTACTTTGTAATAGCCCTAAAGTGTAAGAGTAGCTATGCTGTCATACTGTTATTCTTGTTCTATTTTATTATTATTATTGTTAATCTTTTACAGTGCCTAATTTATAAATTAAACTTTATCATAGATATATATATATTTTAAAAAACTATAATATATATAGGGTTGGTACTATCTGTGATTTTAGACATCCCCTGGGATCTTGGAGCCTATCCCATGCCGATAAAGGAGGAAGATTGTACTTTCACTGTGATGTTTCTGGGTATTAGTATCTTTTTATTTATACATACCAAGACTTCTTAGGCTTACTAAATCTGATTGCCTAAGTGCAGGAGTTTGAGGTTGCAATGAACCATGATATTATCACTGTACTCCAACCTGGGTGACAGAGCAATCCTCCCACCTCAGTTTCCTGAGTAGCTGTTTCTACAGGTGTGCACCACCGTGCCCAGCTAATTTTTAAGATTTTTTTGTACAGGTGGAGTGTCACTATGTTTCCCAGGCTGGTCTCAAACTATTGAACTCAAGAGATCCTCCTGCCTTGCCTCCCAAAGTGCTGGGATTATCAGCATGAGCCACTGTGCCTGGCCTCCTCCCTTAATTATTTTATAAGGCTTCTTTAACCTTAACACCAAAACTATATAGGAATATTAAGAGAAAGAAAAATCATGAGCCAATCTTGCCCACAAACACAGAACAATTCTACACAAATTTTTGGCACAAATATATCCAGTAACATAAAAATAATAAAAACATGATCAAGTCACGTTTATTTCAGAACAAGATTAATTTAACATTTAAAAAATTGCTTAATGTAATTCATGCTCTTAAGAGATTTAGGAAGAAAAACCATATGACATCAATATAGATAAAGAAATAAAAGGACCTAATGGGTAAATTGTGGAAACCTCACAGAAAGTAAAACAAAAAACAGATGGAAAATATGAAAAGGATTGAATAACACAACTATTTTTTTCCTGAAGATAATTTTGAAAAATAAATATTTTCTTATACTTAGGCATAAACAATGTGTGCATAGAAATTACAAAACTCTGTTAATCACTTAATCTCAAGCATTTCATGGCCTTCCCTTTCTCTGTTGCAGAACTACTTGTTTTACAACTAATAAATGGTAAAGCGGGGGATCTTCTGTGAATATATTAGAGTCTTGGTATATAAATTTGTGTCATGTACTAGACACAATATGTCAGTAACAATTTATTTTCCAAACAGGATACATTCTATATAGAAGCAGGAGAGATTTGCATTGTGTTTTAAGAACCTTTCAATATTGAGAGCTATCAAACTAGAGTAACAACAAGAAAGACAGTTGAGTCAATCTTTTTAATAATAAGGTAGAATCTTGTTTATTTGAAAGGGACAGTTTCTTTGTGGAAGGTGGTTAAACTAGAATACCTTTTAAAATTATCTTCCAGGGTAATTGTATAACATTTATAACCAAGATGTGACTCTTAGGATGTAAGTAAATGCCATCATGTCACCATTAGATGTTAAGTCTAATACTGTGTTATGAATTGATTCGCAGGTCTTGTTAGCTGGATTAATCAGCTTTTCTGCAGCGTGCATCATAATTGGATGTGTGGTTATAATATTCAATAAAGAGTCGTGGGATTTGCAATCTTCCCTATTCTTTAGCATCACCCTTAGCATTACCGATCCTCTTCATTCTGCGAATTCACTGAAAACTATTGGTATGTCACATTTATTTCTTTCTCTCATCTTGAAAATATAAGGGTACATCATTTTCTTTTGATTATATTTTTCTTGCATGAATTGTGCACTCAGAAGAATAAGAATCTGTGCTTTTGCTCTTAATCTTGGGGGGTAGAGCAATGATTGAAGGAGACAGTGCAAATAAGACAACCACTGAGGAGATGAGATACATAGCGTCAATTATAATCTCCAAGGAAGATTTTCAGTTTTTTTTCAAAGAGAATGTAACCTTTCTGGAAGGTGATAAAAATTGGCATTCTTGTTCTGTTCCAGTGAATTCTTAGCCACGAGGTAGATATTCTAAGTTGGTGAGTTTGTTTACCAATCAGGGGAAACATTAAGATCCCTAATGAGACTTTTCCAGGGCTTTGCTACCTCCTGTTAGAACTGCCTCCATTTGGAGTTCTAAGGTTTGGCAAGTGGTGGAGAGGGGATTATCGTGTATCTTCAAGAAAAGGGGTGAGGATATAGTCTGGCACTCAAATATATTATTACTCAATAAAAGCTTATTCCCAAGAAGGTTTGGAGTCCTGCACTATTTCCCATATTATTTGGTAAGGTGGAAGATAATTTCACTCTGAAATATCCCCCTATTGTCAGGTTTTTTTCTTTATTTCTTCCAAAAAAAAAAAACAAACCCCAAAACAGGATACATATACAAAATGTGCAGGTTTGTTACACAGGTATATGTGTGCCATGGTGGTTTGCTGCACCTATTGACTTGTATTCTAAGCTCCCTCCCCTCACTCCCACCCCCTAACAGGCGCAGGTGTCCATGTGTTCTCATTGTTCTCACTTATGAGTGAGAATATGTGGTGCTTGGTTTTCTGTTCCTGTGTTACTTTTCTGAGGATGATGGCTTCAAGCTTCAGCCATATCCCTGCAAAGGACATGATCTCATTTCTTTTTATGGCTGCATAGTATTCCATGGTATATATGTAGCACATTTTTTTTTTTTAATCTAGTCTATCATGGATGGGCATTTGTGTTGGTTCCATGTCTTTGCTATTGTAAATAGTGCTGCAATAAACATACATGTTCATGTGTCTTTATAGTAGAATGATTTATATTCCTTTGGGAATATACCCAGTAATGGGATGGCTGGGTCAAATGGTCAGGTTTTATTAACACAGCAATAACAACATGAACGGCTAGATGCTTTGGTTTCTGTTTTGACACAGAAATATTTTCCTAACCAATTTTAAAGTATCAGTTGTATTTAGTGAAAATATATTACCTTATGATTGGAGTGAGAAACCTCCAACCTTTCCAGCATGTGATATTCTTATTTTCATACCCGTGGGAAAACACAGGGTTTTAGGCACTTTTGGTGGTTCTGTTCTAAATTGTTACACGGTTGATATATTTCTCAAAGATTCTGATCCTGTTCTCTTTTTTCTCTTTGCAACCCTAAGTACAATTTTATTTCTCTCTTTCCTTACCTGTCTTTTTCTTCCAACCATTTGTATTTACCTCTTGTTTTATTACTTCATTCTCTTCCCATACTCTCTTGACTGTAAATGGTTATAATAAACTGTAAATGTTATTTACTGCAGTTCCAATGTTCATTTTATTTTTTTAAAAAGGAGTACGGTAGAAAGGCTTCTTTTTTTTTTTTTTTTGAGATGGAGATTTGCTATATCCCTCAGGGTGGAGTGCAATGGCATAATCTTGGCTTACAGCAACCTCTGCCCCCTGGGTTCAAGCAGTTCTCCTGCCTCAACCTCCTGAGTAGCTGGGATTATAAGCATGTACCATTATGCCTGGCTAATTTTTCTATTTTTAGTACAGATGAAGTTTCTCCATGTTGGCCAGGCTGCTCTCGAACTCCTAACCTCAAGTGATCCGCCCACCTTGGCCTCCCGAAGTGCTGGGATTTCAGGGATGAGCCACCTCACCCAGTTGACAGTCCTCTATTTCTTTTTTTTTTCTTTTTTTTGAGACGGAGTTTCGCTCTTGTTACCCAGGCTGGAGTGCAATGGTGCGATCTCGGCTCACCGCAACCTCCGCCTCCTGGGTTCAGGCAATTCTCCTGCCTCAGCCTCCTGAGTAGCTGGGATTACAGGCACGCGCCACTATGCCCAGCTAATTTTTTGTAGTTTTAGTAGAGACGGGGTTTCACCATGTTGACCAGGATGGTCTCAATCTCTTGACCTCGTGATCCACCCTCCTCGGCCTCCCAAAGTGCTGGGATTACAGGTGTGAGCCACCGTGCCCGGCCAATCTTCTGTTTCTTTAAGACAAAACTTTAAGTGAAGGTATTTTGTTGACTCTTAATTCACATTTTTTTTTTTTTTAATTTCAACAACACTCAGGAGGTTAGATGGATTCTGGATCCAGTAGCATTGTCTCCTGATAAGACAAATTTGACTTATTTTTACAGGGAAAGTCACTCTCACTTGTTTTGGGTGTTGGCAGGGCCATCATGTTGTCCCTTTGTGTGAATTAGAAAAATGATTCTTTCTTCAAAACAGTTTTCTTCTATTTAATAGTCATAACATATTAATTTTTTTAAGGAAAAGCTATTTTTGGCCATATGCCTAAAATTATCATAATATACAGAACTACAATTTCTACAGTGTTAATGGCATTTCTTTTGATGAGGTGCCTGCCTGCATTGTAAACCTGTACAACCTAAATCTAAGGTGGACTGGCCCCGTCAAAAATGTAGTGGACATTTATATGTAAGTTAAAAGGAAATTGTCTATTCATTACCTGTTTTAAAAGAGTGCAAGGGCTTAAATAACTTTTATTTTACAGCAAATCTGGAAGAGGATCTTGTAAAGAAATAAAATACAGAGTTTTAGTATGATCTCAATTGAGTGAAAAGAACCATTTACTCAGAAAATGACTTCAGTTTTAAAATGGTTACATGTGAGTCATCACAGAATTATAAAAATTTTTAAAAATTCTTTCCTTTTCCAAATTTTACAATGAATCAATATAAATTAGGTCCACATTAAGCCAAAAAAGAAGGTGGAGAGCAATTCTTACCGTGTCTTACTATTAAAAATAACTATAAATCAAATCCAAAAGGTTTTGGATTTGATTTATAAATGGCTTTATACACCAAGCCTTATACTTTACTTGTTCTGATTAGCCCACAAATGTGAGAGCGGAATTAGAGGATTTCTTCACCAGATAAATCAAATGTGCTAATAGTCTCTCAACCTGTTTAACCAGTATTTTTATGCCTTCTGCCATGACTATGGTAGTAAGGCAGCAACAAGTAGTAAAATGAGATGATTGTGACTGTTAATAACAGCGGATTAGACACTGCAGAGGAAAGGATGAGAAAACTTGAAGATGTAGTGATAGAAAGTATCTAGAATGGAACACAGAGAGAAAAAGACTAGAAAACATGAACTGAGCATTAGTGAGCTGCGGACAATTTCAAATGACCTAATATATAAGTCCCCAAAAGAATAAAGTGGGAGGAACAAATAATTTGAAGAAATCATGGAGGAAAAATTTCTGAATTTGATAATAATGAATGCTACAAATTCAACAAGCTCAATAAACTGCAGGCCCAAGAAATATAAAGAAGACTACACCAAAGCACATAAAAAGCAAATTCCTTAGAACCAATGATAAAGAGAAAATTTTCAAAGCAGCCAGAAACAAAAGACACTTTGTATTTAGAGGAACAAAAATAATGACAGCAGACTTAGAATTCTATACTCAGTGAAAATATCTTTTAAAAGAGTAAAGTGAAGACTTTCTTAAACATACAAAAGCTGAAAGAATTTATCATCAGCAGGCCTGTACTATAAAATTGTTAAAAGTCTTCTAGGCAGAAAGAAAATGATGTTAGATGGGAAGTTGGTTGTGGAATTTTATCTGCTCAAGCCTCTGGAAATCACAGCCAGTTTATTTTTGGTCTCTATGTATTTGTCTATCACGGACATTTCATATAAATCAAATCAGACAATATGTGGCTTTTGTGTCTGGTTTCTTTCACTTAGTATAATGTTTTCAAGGTTCAGGTTGTAGTATGTATCAGTAAGTACTTCATTCCTTTTTGTGGAGCAATAATATTCCATTGTAGGAATATATACATGTATTTATTCATTTGTCGGCTGACAGACATTGAGTTGTTTCTACCTTGTGGCTCTTACGAATAATACTATTATAAATATGTACAAATCTTCAAGTGGTCATACATTTTCAATTATCTTGGGTATATACCTAGAAGTAGAATTGCTGGGGTCGTAATTTGTCCTTATTTCGAAAATGAGATTATTTTGGAATCTGATTCAGGTTTATTCAAACTAAACGTGTTATCTTGAGAAGTATTTGTCTCATTCTGCAACCCAAGTATGGTTGAGACAATGAGCAATACAAGCAGTGCTATCGCCATGTTTCTTTGCCATTGCCAATACAGGAGGCACAATAGAAAAGTTTAAAAATGGTGATTGTGATTGTCTTACAGACTCATCCCAGTCATAGTTGCCTTGTTCTTTTCCTTTTTTCTTTTTCTGTTCTTTCTCTTCTGTTTTTGCTTCCTGTGCAAAAACATTATTTTCATATAGCATATTAAGTTATATTTTGTATTTACTTTTTCAGGCGTTTCTAAAATATATACTGATCTCATTAGAGGAGAATCAGTGATCATTTGTAGCATCACATCAATTTTTTTTGGAATTTTTCGGAACAAGAAAATCTACCTTTCTGTTTTTAGAGGTAGGAGCATTTTTTTTGGTCTGTATATTTTCTAAAACCATTCTAATTAAAATTAAGATACATTCAAGATGTTTTAAGTGTACTGCCTTCTCTATACTTTATTCTTGTGCTGATTACAATGATATATTGAGTAACAAGAAAAAAATCATAGTTGGCCATTTGCATCCATGAATGCAACCAACTGCAGATCAAAAATATTCAGAAAAACTCAATAAAAATAACAATACAACAGTAAAAATGCAAATTAAAAATATATATAGTATAACAACTATTTACATAATATTTACATTGTATTAAGTATTACAAGTAACCTAGAGATGATTTAAAGTACACAGGAGTATGCGCTGTAGGTTATATGCAAATATTACACTATTTTATATCAGGGTTTTGAGGATCTGCAGATTTTGGTATCCAAAGGGGTTCCTGGAACCAATGCTCCATGGATACCTGAGGGAGGACTGCATGTGTGTTCCTGGACATTAAAGGGGAAAGAACATTTAAAAAGGGTTTTAGTTTTTCTCGATATGCATAGATGTATGTGTCCACACGTAGACAATTGTGTCAGCTAACTCAGACTTACTTCTTGCCTGGATCAATCTGGATCTCAATGAATGAGTGCTAAGAATTGGATTGGTTCTGGATTTGGGTCTGAGAGTAAAAGCAGAACGTTCTATGCAGGACTGGAGAGTCCAGTCCTAGAAGTAACAAGAGCCAGACTCCTGCAGCTAAAGACCATTGGGACATGAAGCATGTTGCCTTGCTAGGTTTCCAGATGTGGTACTAGTAGAGATGAAAAGGGGAAAAAAAAATCACAGTATGAAAGGGGAAAATGTGTTTTCCTGATATACTTTTGAGATAGTCACAAAATGAGGAAGATACTAAAAGGAGAAGGAAATATTGAGGAATAAAATGGGGTTTGCAGTGCTTCTCAATGAGGGAGCTATCGGGCATTGGGGTGGGACAATTTCTGTCATTGAGGACTATCCTGATAGCTACCCATTAACTGCCACTAGTGCCCACAGTTATGGTGACTAATGAACATTTTTCATCTTCATTTTCCAATGTCTCCTGGGCTGGGGGCAAGGTCATAAACTAACTGCAGGTTAGCAGTGACCCTGGCCCTGACTAGCTTGGTCTTGACATAGTTTATCTAAAAATTTTTAATTTGGGTTTTTTGTTTGTTTGTTTAGATATTCACTGTAAACCAGTTTGTCACAAGTTTTTCACATTTATTCTCCTTGCCTTTCTCCTGAGGACATTTGAATCTTCTTTCCCTCGATAAACAAATCTTAAGCTGCAGACCATAAGGGAAGGATATTCTAAGAGAGCCTCTTTTACCAGACTTTCACGGGACACTTCTATTTGCTGAAGGATTAGGTCCCTACTCAAAAATCGCATCAGCAAACCAAAGTGCAAAGGCCTAAATGCCATCAATGAAAGAAACGAAAGTTATGGCTCAACATTTTATTTCTTATTTATTTATTTATAGTGTTACATGCAGCCATTGGAATCATCTTGGACATTTTTGGAAGCATAGTATTTGGATATTGGTGTGCAAGAATCATTCAATTTATATTGGCTGACCTTTTCATCAATATGCTGACTGATATCGTTCTCTGCTTTTCAATGGTGTACATGACTTTCTATATTGGTAAGGCAGAAAAAAATACAAAAAGTACTGTCCTCAAAGTAAGCTTTATACACCTTTATTTTTTCCTGATCTTGAATCCAGTTCTTCTTTCCAACATCTCTTTCTTTTTGTGGCCCCACTGTGTGTCTTGTCATACTATCTTACTGTTACCTCTAGCCCTTTCTTGGTCTTTCTTAATATCCTCTTTATTTCAACTCCATGTCCCATTTTCTTGCACTGTTCTCTGTGGTTATTCTATTCTTTTTGAACTCTTCCTTTGACCTTGTATATAATCACCGGCATTCCCTGGGCAGAGGAATCAACACTGAGCTCATTCTGCTCTAACCCTGAGCAAACCATCTGCAAACTGAGGAGGCTGGGAGAGATGCTCCTGAGGCCTTTCTAGATCAACAGCCTTTAATACAATGGTTGCCAAATTGAGGGGACTATAGAAATGGCAGCCTTTACTTAGGCTAGGAGTCAGGAAAGGAGAGGTATATTTATTGTTGAAAGAGAAGCAGGAGAGTGAAATAATCACATGAGTAAGAGTGCCCAGTACTGGCTGACCCTCAGCTAGTTTAGTCCAGTGAAACGGAGATCTAAGTGTTTACTGGCCTGACTGAGGGGCCCAGTCCCTAAGAGACATAGCAACTGTGGCCAAACTGTCAGATTCCACTTTTGCTCTCATCTCACACAGTGAAGCAACTTCTGTTCTTGAAAGACCTCAGGTATCAAGAGGTTGTTTCTCTTTCACCTACAGTTTCACCTACAGCGCTTTTACCTAAAAGCGCTGCTTCTTTTACAGATTCCTGAGGGTTGCTCACTGCCCTGAATCAATAAAATCATAGAAAGCATTCACTGAAGGTTCCTTTCCTTCAAATGTCTTCATCTTTTTTTCTTCTCCTTTGCTGCTTTTTATAGATGCCTTAAATGTTTGAAGAAAGAACGTTTATCTACTACACTGTGAGTTCCTTGAGGTGAAGACTGTCTCTTAGTCATCTTCCTGTTTGTTCTCTTTTCTATGTTTGGAGCTTGCCATATGCCTGATAGTAATTTAACACATGTTGGTTGAGTAAACTGCTACTAGTCCTTGAAGAGCTTTGGAATTGGGCAGACTTGAGTTCAAATCTCAGCTCTGCAATTTATTAGCTTGGTGATCCTGGAAAATTACTTAACCACTCTACGGTTCACTTTCCTTATCTTTAAAAGTGGTATGATAGGCCGAGTGCAGTGGCTCATGCCTATAATCCCAGCACTTTGGAAGGCTGAGGTGAGTGGATCAATTGAGGCTAGGAGTTTGAGACCAGCCTGGCCAATATAGTGAAACCCTGTCTCTACTGAAAGTAAACAAATTTAGACAGGTGTGGTGGCTCACGCCTGTAATCCCAGCTACTCGGGAGGCTGAGGCACAAGAATCTCTTCTACCTGGGAGGCAGGGTTTGCAGTGGGCCAACATCACGCCATTGCACTCCAGCTTGGGCAATGGAGCAAGACTCTGTCTCCAAAAAAAAAGTATAAATTAGTTCAACCATTATGGAAGACAGTGTGGTGATTCCTCAAGGATCTAGAATTAGAAATTCCACTGGACTCAGCAATCCCATTACTGAGTATATACCCAAAGGATTATAAATAGTTCTATTATAAAGACACATGCACACATTATGTTCGTTGTGGCACTGTTTATGATAGCAAAGACCTGGAACCAACCCAAATGCCCATAAATGATAGACTGGACAAGGAAAATGTGGCACATCTACACCATGGAATACCATGCAGCCATAAAAAACGACAGGTTTGTGTCCTTTGTAGAGACATGGATTAATCTAGAAACCATCATTCTCAGCAAACTGACACAAGAACAGAAACCAAACACTGCATATTCTCACTCATAGGTGGGAGATGAATAATGAGAATGCTTGGGCACAGGGAAGGGAACAACACTCACAGGGCTAGGTGGGGGGAGATGAAGGGGAGCGGAGGGAAGGGACAGTTAGTTGCATTTGTTCGGAAGACTTACTGCAGAGTATGAATGAACTATAGAAGGTAGGGATTTTACACTAATCATTCAGGCTTAAATACATCCCAGAGTCAGCACATATGTGTGTTATATATACCGATTTTAGCCAATGATTCTTTGGGGCTTCAAGGCAGCACTGTGCCACTGCTCAGAAAGAAAGCTTGCTAGGTAGCCTCTTGTTTTAGGTTGAATTGCATCCCCCTAAAGGATGTTGAAGTCCTGTATTCCAGTACCTGTACAGGTGACTTTATTTGGAAATAGGTCCTTTGCAGATGACCAAGTTAAGATGAGGTCATTAGGGTGGGTCCTAATCCAGTATGACTGTATCCTTATAAAAAGGGGAAATTTGGACACAGAAACAGACACACATAGAGGGAAGATTATGTGAAGACGCAGAGAGAATACCAGCTATAAGCCAAAGGATGCTTGAAACTATCAGAAGCTAGGAGAGAGGCCTGGGACAGAATCTCCCTCACAGCCCTCCGAAGGAACCAACCCTGTTGATCTTGGACTTCTAGCTCCAGAACTGAGAGACAGTACATTTCTGTTGTTTAAGCCCCCTAGTTTGTGCCATTCAATTTGGCCTCCCCAGGAAAGCAATACACCTCCCTCCTTAATTACACTTTCCTCTGCTTCAGGAATTAAAAAACAATGTCAGGCAGTCCTTTACTCATACTTAGTAAGTTCCTGACAGCAAAGTCAGAAATAGGCAGTGTCATAAGGAGATGTTCCATAGCCAGAGAGCTATAATGTAGATAAAATTCTCACTTATACATTCTCTAATGCTACATTTCTTTCATGCTGTTTAATTTTTTTTTTCCCTCACTTAAGCTTAAGTCCAGAGAGCATCTGATTGAGGTTGGAGAGTCACCTCTTGGAATGCTGATGTATAATTCATGAAAGAACATGGGTTCTATAAAAGTGTAGGCTAGAGGCATTCCTCCTAGCAAGGAGGAATATTTCATTAAGTGACAGTGTTTAGAATTTTGGGGGCAATGGAGATAATAAAAAGTGGAAGGACTTTTTATCATCTTTATAATTGTTTTAAAAGTCTACAAACAACGCGTCCCCTTGTTGCCTGTAACTGGGGCTTATTACTTACACTGTCCCTTCTTTATAAAACCCTAATTATTGAAAGATAGTTTCCCTGTCATCACAGTTTGCAGCACTCCTGGTTTTATTGTCATTGGTTATTTAAGGTAAATTCAGTTAACAGGTAGATAAAAAGAAGTCTAAATTGAACTTAAGTGATTAGATAAACTGAAAGAATAGTAAACTCATCTTTAATAAATAATATTAGTTTGCTAAGCAATAAAGTAGATACAAACAACAGCATGATAGTATTATCACTTATTCATTGCTTTAAAAGTGTGCCAAGCATATGAGTCATAACTATTTTATGCCTGTTTTATAGTTGCAGGGCCATTAATGGAGGAAGGTGAGGCCACATTCCAAGAGCAATTAGCTCTGCTTTGCCTCAAAGCCCTTGCATTCCTACCTTTCATGTTCTTTGTCTTCCTTTCTGTCTGATGGTTTTAATGTGCTATTTGAAGACTCTGTGGTCTAAGACTATCAATATTTATGGTATTCAAACATCCTTCAGGTTGGTTTTCCTGCCTCAGACTATTAATACATTTACACACTTGTTTAGAGCCTAGCAAATTACAAGTTTAATTAGGAAGGTCTATATCAGCAAAAGAAAAGCAGGCATAAGGAATTGGGGTCATTACAAGCACTGAGGTTGGCTCACAACTCCTGGTACATGTAGTGCAGTATTCCTGAGATGCTTAAAGGACACCTTGAGGGCTGTGGAACTTATTTTTTCATGAGCCCTATTCTCAATGATGGTCTCCAGCAGGAGTTGGCAAACTGCAACTCTTGGGCTAAATCTGCCTGTTAGCTGAAAATAGATTTTACATTTTAAAATGGCACAAAAGAAGAATATTTTATGGCATATGAAAATTATGTGAAATTTGGACTTCAGTGTCTAATAACCAAGTTTTACTAGACACACCCATTTACATATTATCTATGGCTGCTTTTGCACTACAGTAGCTGAATTGAGCCATTGTAACAGAGCCTGTATGGTTCACAAACATTAATATTTACTATCTGGCCCTTTATAGAAAAAGTTAGCCAGCCCCCAATTTACTGGATTAGGTCAATCCCTTGAAGCAACTTTCTAAGAACTACTACTCCTCTTAAGATTCCCATCAATTCATTCAAGATAAAGTATCTCAGTGTACAGATCTGAATGCATTTCGTTTGATTCATTTGTTTATTTTTTCTCTGCAGTGGAATATTTAGGAATGTCAGGCGTTCTTGCCTTAGCCACTGTAGGACTGAATTTAGACTCTTTAACCTTTAGACCGAGGATCGAATTTGTAATTACTAGGTAAGTTTCCTATCGTGCACTTGGATAGATCTCATAGCAGTTTAGTGCATAAGGGATCTCAACTTCATGTACACTAATAAAATTCTTTTTCCATAGCTTTTTTTTTAATCCTTAAAAATTTTATTTTTGCTATCAGTTATATTTGAAAAGAATTTAAGGTGCCAACAATTATCAGCATTAATTGACACTCTGGTTATGAATAAGTATCAGTGGCTCAAGAGACCATGGTGTTTTTTGTATATAACCTGATAAAAATTTACTTTGAACTGTGAAGATTTAAAAAAACACATTATTTCTTTGTTTCCTTCATCATATACCTAAATAACAGTATATCAATATGGGAAGAGCTGGAAAAGAAGAGTAGCAGAAAGATGTAACATCAACAAAGCTCTCACCTGCCTTTTACTCCTGGTAATAAATGCCACGTGGACATTTCTGGACAGAGGGAAAATCATTTGCCTGTCTGGGCATGCAAACAATAAATTAGCCTTTCTCTTAGAGACTATGATAAATTAGAGAATTGGTTAAGAATTATTGGATACCAGATCATCGTCTAATGTAGAAATTTCCACATCAGATGAAAACAAATGTCGAACTGAGAAAAATAAGCCATAATCTTGAGTTTTCCCAGGAAAATTAATTTATTTAATGTATGGACTATGCATTATTATAAAATTATGTTCATCCTACCTTTTTTGTTGTTTATACTGTCCTTTCTTTTACGACATTTCAATGACAGAAGATAGTATTTTCTTGCCTACTTGGCAAAAGAAAATAAAAACATGGGCACCTAAAACTATTCCATATTTGTGTGTATGTGAACGAAACTTTACTGTGTTTTTTAAATCCAGAGGCTTGGGAATAACATGTCATAGAACATCTATTTGGCATAATGCCTGAATTTAGACAGTTTCATGAGTAGTGCTGTCTGTTGACATCATTATAAATTACTTTCTATTCACTCAATTATTTATTTTTTCACCCATTCAACCCAATCCTTTCTTAACATCTGCTGTGGTCCGGATATTGCATCTTAGGTCTGGGGCTACAAAAATAAGTCCCTTCTCAGAGGTGCTTATTGTTAAGTGGCAGACGTGTTTATATAAGAAAGTAACAATATGTGTGAATAAGCATGTATTTTTCAGGTTCTACTATACGTAATGCATTTTTTAGGTCTTGTGGAGAGATTAAAAAAAACTTTTTTTTTGAGACAGGATCTTGCTTTGCCTCCCAGGCTGAAGGGCAATGGCACTATCAGAGCATACTATGGCCTCTACCTTCAGGGTTCAAGTGATCATCCCACCTCAGCCTCTCAAGTAGCTGGGACTACAGGCCTGCTCCATGATACCTGGCTAGTTTTTTTTGTATTTTTTGTAGAGATGAGGTTTCACCATGTTTCTCAGGCTGGTCTCAAACTCCTGGCTCAAGCAATCTGCCCTCCTCAGCCTCCCAAAGTGTTGGGACTACATGCATGAGCCACCGTGCCCAGCTGAGGTTTTTGAAAAAGTATTTAACTCAGTCAGTTATTCCATGACTTCTGAATTTTTTGAAAACTATGCACTAGGGTTTGAGGTTCCCCTACTCTTTCCCTGTAGGGGTTTGGAATCAATTGAATCAAGAGATAGAAGTCACTTGGAGAACCAAACTATTTCCTTAATTGGGGTAATGCTGTATGTATCAAAGAACATGGTTTATATCTGTAGCTAAAATGAAGCTTCCTTGTGCTTCTTTCTGAGCGTAAATTTTGAGATCCACCTGTAAGGAGGCTGGTTTGTGGGGCAGACACACTTACCCACTCAGCTGAAAGAGAAAGACCCGAGAGGGAATCTAGAGGAGGCAGGTCTTGAGATCTGCTTGTGGAAATCACACTTGGCCCTGACCCAGGTGTGCTATGACGTGCAACTATACAGAACAGAATGTGTACTCTACTGAGGCCTCAGTCCCATGCCCTAACCCATGTGCTCTGGTCTACTCAGTAAGAATCTCTGCGGGTGGTTCTGTCAAGCTTTAGAATTCAATCTGGGTGATTCTAATGCTTTCTTCTGCTTAAAAACTACAGTAGTGCAGAGAGTCGGCACTGTAGGAGTTCAGAGCAGGACCGCCACCACCTAGGGTGCTTAAGAGGCTTTCATAGACAACGTGGGGCTACAGTTAGCCTTACAAGACTTTTAGGAATTCAGGAGACAGGAAAGCAGACAGGATAGACTTTCAAAGTAAATAGAAGAGCACATGTGAGTCACAGAGGGAGAGGTTGTGCAGAGAGCATTGGGATGATCCGGTTAGCTATTGCAAAGTCAAAGTTACTGAGATGTACCTCCTAGTAGCAACACAACTCTGGGTTTAGCAGTAGCAGCCCCAACAGTTGATATGCTGCCAGAAAATCCCAGAGAAACTGATAAATCATCTGCTGGGGGAGGGCCTCAGTTTTCTGCCTTGCTGTTATTATTCTACTGTGAGAAGCAGCCCACGGTATTGGTGTGATGAGGGTAATGAAAAATATGGAACTGGGTGTTTTTAGATCCAACAAAATTCTTTTAATTGTTGACTGTAACAGAGGTGAAGGCAAGGGCCTCTGCTAAGACAGTGAAAGGTATAAGATACATGCTTTTATGTGAAAAAAAAAATTTTATTTAAGATGCATTGCTTAAAATGTCATTTCCTTTTCATTCATCCTAGGTTCTTAAGAATGTTTTCATCTGTATATGAACATTTAATATATGCTTTCTCTGGCATTGTGATTGGATGTGGAGAAAGCAACCATTATGACTTTCACACCATAATTTTCATACTCATCTTATTTGCAACAGTGAATTTAGTAAGGTAAGAATAATATTTTAAAGTTTGTTTACTAAGCTTAGATTCTCAAGCTCAGAATTAGAATTAGGAAGCATTGGCATATAGCAAAAAGGGCTCTGAACATGGAGCCAGGAAACCTGCCTTGTTGTCAAGGCCTTGACAATAGCTTGGTGTGCAACTTGGGATAAGTGTGTTTATTTTTCAAGATTTTATCCATAAAATGAGAGGGATTGGCATCACCTGTAAGCTAGACAGAAATGCAAATTCATGGGCCCATTTCAACCTACTGAATTGAATCTCTAAGTATGAGAGCCAGGAAATAGTTTTAACATGCTCTGCCATGAGAGCTCATATGTAAGCTGAGATTGGTCATAAAGAAAGAAACATGGCTTTAGCACACTGTTTGACTCAGGTATACATCCATTATCTAATTTCATCTTCATAACAACACTAGGAGATAAGAATTATCATCTCCAATTATTTATCTCTGTTATTTTCTACATTTTGAAGAAATCGGCCCCCAGAAAAGCAAAGGACCTTGTCCAAGGTCAAATGGCTAGTGAGTGGCAGAGATCTTGCTGAACTGATGGTTCCACGCACTAGAGGAAAGGCTTTAATCAAGGGCATTATCCTTAAGTTGGCCCTCGAAGTGTGGGTGGGTTTTCTTGTAAGACTTGAGAAAAACATTTCAGAGAGTATGAGCCAAGATAAAGAAATGGGAATACACGAACATAATAAGTGTTGCTGATTGAATATTTTGTATGGATACATGTGTATCGTATATAGTTATAATTATGTATTGATTATGTATTGAGTGCTGACCACATGCAAAGCATCATTCTAAGCCCTGAGTATTGCTGCATTTAATTGAATTACCACAATAATCCTTTGAGGCAAGTACAATTGTTATTATCATCTTCATTTTACAGATGAAGGAGCTGAGGTACAGAGAGATTAAATAGCTTGCGAATGTAGTTATGCAGTTAGTAAAAGGCAAGCCTAAATTTAACACAGGTAGGCTGACTTCAGAGTCTTTTGCTATTCTGCCTCCCTGTTTTTGATATCAGGAAATGACATAAGTTGGTTCTATTTTGGTTGGACTCTGATATTTTAGGGAAAGGTTATTTAGTAAGGCTGAAAAGGTTGGTAAGAGTCACGTTGCAAAAGGCTTGAATGCAAGGCAGAGGAGTTTGCCAAAATTAATTATATACATTATAGATGGTAATTGTAGATTTTCTGTTTCTCAATGACAGGAATTCTCTAAATTGACTTGTACAATTTATAGCTCACCAACTGATGCACAATATACTTTTTGAGGCTAAGAACACATCTGATTTTACTTTTGCGGAAATTTCATTTGTTCTAAATCATTTGAAGGACAGTACTGATATTCTCTCAGTGCTGGTCCCTTAATGATAGATTTTAAATTTTGGCACAGGTTACTTTTAAAATGTAATCTGGAGAGCAAGAAGGCGCAAATTAAAATTATTTGTGTGACATTTAGCGTATGGATTCTTGTGGGAGCTCAGTAAACATTTGGTTGGGTTAAGTTTATTAATGTGTCTACAATAATCTTACATTTGGGTCATGATCTGCACATGCCCCCATTATAATTTTTGAATCCAGTCATGTATGGCTTTTCAGGGAGTAGATGAGCTTGTCAGCATTCTTAGAAGAGGTTTCCCTGTGAGAATTTACTACCCAAATCCAAACAATATACAGTAGTGTTGATGATAATTCCTTATATTTGTTTAAAACTTTCAGCATTATTTTTCAAGACTTGAGTATTACGTGCAAAATTTAAATAGTAGATTTGATTAGTCCCAGAAAATTGGAAGGATTTAACAATAAATTGCATTGTTTTCTCTTTCCTGAAGAAATGTATATTAAATTTAGTATTTAGTACATGCTTTCAACCATGAATAACATTAATAAACAAGGTGTGATTTATTTTTAATGTTTCTCTCTCCACAGGTTGCTCACTATTTTGTTAGTGAGCCTTATTTTGATGCGTTCAAATTATGAATATAATTGGCGATGGGGAGTTGTTATGGCATGGTCTGGAATTAAAGGAGTTTTTAGTTTACTCCTTGCTCCTGATATTTATAATCTCACTGAAAAAAAAGTAGAAGTACCAGAAATGGTAGGAAAGATCATGTCTCATGATTATTCATATTTATAATTTTTACTTATTTTTTATGTCAGAGAACCCAGTAATAAAGTTAACCAGTTTTGAATTAGATTTTAAGTAGAAATGCATTCTTTTAAGTAGAAAGGAACTGAGCAGAACCTTATTTATGCTGAGAATTTGAAAGGGACCAGTAATTATGGAGTAGTTATGGATATGGTATTAGATGAACTTGGGCTCTGGTCTGAAACTCTGCCATTCACACGATAGATGATCTCGAAGAAGTTCCCCAGCCTTGCTGAGCCTCAACTTTCTGTTGAGGATTGAGATGATGCCCAGTAGAATACCTGACACTTAATAAATGCTCAGTAAATGTTATTGAACACACAAATGCTATTTTCTTTTTCTTTCTTTTCTTTTCTTTTTTCTTTTTTTTTTTTTTTTTTAGACAGCACCTCTCTCTGTCATCCAGGCTGGAGTGCAGTGGTGCAATCTTGGCTCACTGCAATCTCTGCTTCCTGGGTTCAAGCAATTCTCATGCTTCAGCCTCCCAAGTAGCTGGGATTACAGGTGTGCACCACCACACCTGGCTGATTTTTTTTTTTTTTTTTATTTTTAGCAGAGACAAGGTTTCACCATGTTGGCGAGGCTGGTCTTGAACTCCTGGCCTCAGGTGATCTGCCCACTTAGGCCTCCACTCAAAGTGCTGGGATTATAGGCATGAGCCACCATGCCCAGGTACAAATGCTATTTTTCAATGGCTGCCAGAAAGCACGAAAAAACAATACTTTTGTCAAAAACATCTACTCCTTATAGTTCTTAGAACAAAAACTGAAAGGTTTTGGAACAAAAACTGAAACTAGTTAAGCATACCATGATGAGAAAGATTTTATACATTTTTAAATTAAGGATCTAGTTATATTTATGTCTTTAGGGCTAATTAAAAAAAATTTATTTCTTGAAAAATTCTAGGCAAAGACTCCATTATCTGTAGCCAAAAAAAAAAAAAAAAAAACTTGGTTTCCTTTCCACTCTTTCTGAAAGCCTTTCCCCATGGGTTAGCTGGTGGATTTCTGGGCAGTCTGGTGGTGGTTGTATCCTACAGTCCCCGCAAATCCAAAGAGCCCAGTGCATCTGCTGGCAGTGCACCTTGTCATCTGTAATAGCACTGTAAGCTAGATAGAGAAGTTTCCAGAAGCTGCTACAAATCTCCAGGATCAGCCCCTCATTACCTCCAGTCAGATAAACCCCAAATCTTGTTTTTGGGAGGGGGAAAACCACTTGAATAATATGAGCTCAAGAACGCTGACTTACCTACCAAGAAATCTGGAGGTAGATGTATGGAGTTTGTCTATATTGTCTAATTTCCAGCCCAGAATTTCTCCTCTTTACTATTTTCCTGCTGTCCTGAAGGCCCAAGGAGTACAGTATTTATTTAATATCTTCTTTTTGGGAGCTACTATTGACCTTTCCATATTGCATGTGGAGAAATCGAAGAGAGGAGTCTTCTGTATGTAGCATGAGAGGGAAAGACCTCAGGTGCCCTAACTCCCAAAACAGGAAGTGCTGTTTTTGATGGGGTATCATATTCATATTCCTCACCACATTTTTTTCTGAGGATTTATATCTGTGGGCCTTCTCTGAGCATTAATTTTGAGTTCAAATAACCGGTGGTTTTGCAAAGACTTTGGTTCTTTCCGTGCTTCAAAAGAAAAGTGAAATAATCAACATTACCGCTCCTTCGATTTTCTTTTATGCAAGGAATTGGCCTAGAACCAAGTCAATGAGAAGTTAACTAGCACCTGGGAATCATTTTACAGCGTTTCTTAATTCCGTCTGATGTTAGGAATCCCATTGCTTCCACCCTAGACCTACAGAATCACAACCCACAGAGGGAGTCAGTACGTCTAACAAGTGCTTCAGGTGATTGTTGTTATTAGTCAAGCATGAGAGACACTGGAGGAGAAATTACTATGAACTCTTCTTTTCAGTGATGGACGCTGTGGCTCAGAGGGGTTAAATTAACTGGCCCCCAATCACATGGCTAAGAAATGTCAATGTCACGGCCTACAAATGTGGTTACCTTTCTGCTTCTGCACGGCACCTCTCCAGACCCCACCACAGCTCCTGCCTTCTCCTTCAGAGCCTCTGGTACAGCCGTAGTAAATGCTGGTGGCAGGCACATACCCCTCTGCTGCCCATGGTCACCATCCCGCCTGCGGTTGCTGGGCTTTCTCCCCACCCTGCAGGTTCCACAGCCACGTCTGGGATGGCTACCACTTTGACTGCTGCCAGGAGTGGCAACTGTGGAGAGCTCCCCGCACAGTGGCCTTAGTATATAATCTCCAGTCTATTGTTTTCCTCATTGCAATTGGAAATTAATGTCTGCTCCAGTGTAGTATGTTCAGACAATGTTCACAAAACACCCTGTTTGCCTTAACTGACTTATCAGGGACAGGGTTTTAAAATGTGGATTAAGACATTCATAGAATTTTGTTAGTGGCTAAACAATGATTACTTTTGGAGTACTTAATATTTTGCTTCTAACTATGTATGTGCTTTGTTTTTAGTTTATACTCTATATACAAGTAATATCGTTATTGACGATGGGAATAAATTCATACATGATGACTCAGTCAGCCAAGAAGTTAGGTAAAGTATATGTCTCATTCATGAATTAACTGAGGAGAAAAACACAAACAGGTTATTGTTGGCTGTCATAGGGACATTTCTTATGAAGCTCAAGAAATTGGTTTAGAAATTATTCATTTTTCATTATTCATATTCCAAGTAACAGATGCTGTATTACTTGGGATATTGGTTCATCCAGTTTAACAAAAGCCAAATGAACAAAGGCTTAAACAAGACAGAAGGATTTTTCTTTGCCTTCACCAAAAAGTCTAGAAGTGTGAGATGGTTCTGCTCTACAAGATTGCGTAGAGATCCAAGTTTCTTTCCTTTGATTGCTCTTCCATGCCCTAAGCAGCTGCTCTTGAAACGTGCTTACTACCACCATGTCTACAATCCAACCAACTAGAAAGGGGAAATGGTGGGGGACGGGTGTGTGGCAATGGAGGGTAAGCAGCCTCTTTCTAATATATCATTATCACTCACATTCCATTGGCCAGAACTTAGTCATATGGGCACTATGGGCAAGGCAAGCTGGGAAATATCTTTTCTGGTTGACAATATGATCAGTCAAAACTTAGAGATTCTATTGGCAGAAGGAAGAAGATAATGGATATTGGGAGGCTCTGCCACAGTTGGTTATTTCTAAAAGGAATCTCAGGTTGTTTACAATAAAATGCATAAATATAATAAAATAACAAATAGACACATTCAGTAGAGAAATCCAGGAGAGAGGGGAAAACTGGGGTGAGATTAGGCAAAGTCTTATAGTAGAGCGTTAGTATAGTTGAATATGCCATGGCTTGATCCTCAGCTCTGCTGCTACAGAGACCAGATTTTTTCCAGGAATTTAAAATTAATCAGACTATTGGAGATTTACATATCAGGCATAACTTGGAGATATTGCAGGTTCAATTCTGAACCATATGAGAAAGCAAATAATGCAGTAAATATCACAATAAAGCAAGTCTATAAATTATATGGTTTCCCAGTGCATATAAAAGTTGTGTTTACACTATGCTCTAGTCTATTATAATGCAAAAGCACAGTGTCTAAGACAACTATTTATATACCTTAATGAAAAAATGCTTTTTTTGCAGAAAAATGCTAATGATCATCTGAACCTTCAGCAAGTCATAATCTTTTTGCTAGTGCAGGGTTGACAGCTGCTGACTAATCAGGGTGGTGGCTGCTGAAGACTGGGTGGCTGTGGCAGTTTCTTTAAGACAACAATGAAGTTTGGCACATCGACTCTTCCTTCTGTGAAAGATTTCTCTGTAGCATGTGGTGCTGATTGATAGCATTTTACATAGAGTAGAACTTCTTTCAAAATTGGAGTCAATCCTCTCAAAACCTGTTGTCGCTGCTTTAGGAACTAAATTTATAAAATATTCTAAATCCTTTGCTGTCATTTCAGCAATGTTCACAGCATCTTCACCAGGAGTAGATGCCATACCAAAAAAGCACTTTGCTTACTTGTCCATAAGAAGCAACTCTTCATCCATGCAAGTTTTATTCTGAGATTGCAGCAATTCATTCACATCTTCAGGCTCCACTTCTAATTCTAGTTCCCTTCCTATTTCCACCACATCTGCATTTACCTCCTCCACTGAGGTCTTGAACCCCTCAAAGTCATCTGCGAATGTTAAAATCAGCTTCTTCCTGACTCCTATTAATGTTGATATTTTGACCTCCTGCTATGAATTATGAGTGCTCTTAATGGGACTTTGAATACTGACTTCTTTCCATGAGGTTTTCTACTGATTTTCCCCAGATCCATCAGAGAAGACACTATCTATGACAGCTATAGCCTTACAAAATGTTTGTATATATGTATGTATGTATGTATTTATTTATTTTTAAACATGTGAAATGCTATGTATTTGCTGAGGAGTGATTTACTTCCAATTATGTGGTCACTTTTAGAGTAGGTGTGATGTGGTACTGAGAAGAATGTATGTTTTGTGGATTTGGGATGGAGAGTTCTGTAATGTTTATTAAGTTTACTTGTTCCAGATCTGAGTTCAAGTCCTGGATATCCTTGTTAATTTTCTGTCTCGTTGATCTGTCTAATATTGACAATGGGGTGTTAAAGTCTCCCACTATTATTGTGTGGGAGTCTAAGTCTCTTTGTAAATCATTAAGAACTTGCCTTATGTATCTGGGTGCTGCTGTATTGGGTGCGTATATATTTAGGATTGTTAGCTCTTCTTGTTGCATTGATCCTTTTACCATTATATAATATCCTTCTTTGTCTCTTTTGATCTTTGTTGCTTTAAAGTCTATTTTATCAGAGACAAGAATTGCAACTCCTGCTTTTTTTTTTTGCTCTCCATTTGGTTGGAAAATCTTCCTCCATCTCTTTGTTTTGAGCCTTTGTGTATCCTTGCATGTGAGATGGGTCTGGATGCAGCATACCGATGGGTTTTGGCTTTTTATCCAATTTGCCTGTCTGTGTCTTTTAATTGGGGCATTTAGTCCATTTAAATTTAGGATTAATATTGATATGTATGAGTTTAATACTGCCATTTAATGCTAGCTCGCTGTTTTGCCCATTAGTTGATGCAGATTCTTCATTATGTTGATGCTCTTTACCTTTTGGTATGTTTTTGGAATGGCTGATACTGGTTGTTCCTTTCTATGTGTAGTGCGTCTTTCAGAAGCTCTTGTAAAGCAGACCTGGTGGTGATGAAATCTCTGAGCACTTGCTTGTGCACAAAAGATTTTATTTTTCCAAAATGTATTTATTAAATAATAAGACTTGAAAGTCAAAATGAGTCCTTGATACTTGGGCTGCAGAATGGACATTGTGTTAGCAGGCAGGGAAACAACATTCATCTCCTTGTCCATCTCCATCAGAGCTCTGTGTGACTAAGTGTATTGTGAATGAGCAGTAATATTTTGAAAGGAATCTTTTTTTTTTTTTTCTGAGCAGTAGATATCAATAGTGAGCTTAAACTATTTAGCAAACCATGCTGTAAAGAGATGTGCTGTCATCCAGGCTTTGTTTTTCCATTTCAGAGCTCAGACAGAATACATTTAATTTATTCTAGGATTTTTAGAATGGTAAGTAAACATTGGCTTCAACTTAAAGTCATCAGCTGTATTAGCCCCTAACAAGAGTTAGTCTGTCCTTTAAAGCTTTGAAGCTAGGCATTGGCTTTTAGTAATGAAAGTCATCCATAGCATCCTCTTCCAATATAACCAAGCTTCAGATTTCTTTAACTCACTGTGGAATAAAGATTATATAGCAAGTACTTTATCTTTTCAGAGTCAGTATTCATCCTCTCTAGAAATATTGTGTGGTACACATTTAACAGGTACTTAATGGATTTTAGTTTTATTAGTCAGAATTTCAAACCAACTCCTTCCACCTGGTCTAATGCTTTTAAGCAGTCCCTCCTCATACTCTTCCAGGATCATCTTAAACACTGGGAGTACATTCAGATGGGCTGGTGCCACCAAGTGGCCCATATGCCTTCATGCTTCCCCTGAGAACCTGGAAAGCGGCTGATGCCCATCATATGGGTGGGATCTAGTTGGACAAATGAATACATTTTCTCCTTGTGTGGTCTTTGCCATGGGAATTTTAAATCCAAAGCAGCAGTTGGTCAGATGCATCTTTGCTCTCTCTGGGTTATAGTGAACTGATCCTGATGCTTGAGAGGGATATCCCTACAGACCTTTCTGAATCCCCAAATTTCAAATCACTCCATTGTACACAGTGTCCCATAGAGAGTGAGCTAAAGTTAAACTGAAACACTTAGGAGCCATTTAACCCTTGAAGACACATTTCACATGCAATTATGAGGCGAGAACAGCTTTATTAAGATGGAATTGTGTGTAAGTAGGCTAAGCTCATTTACTAGTTAATTTTTTCTCTTTGGTGAGTCTTATAGCTCATACCTCAAGAAAATACAAAATGCTACAAATTTTGAACATATTGATTCACTGGCCAGAAAACAGAGATGTTAAATTTGAGGGATCTCTATTGCATTGGCTTTTAAATGTTACTATGTACAGTATAAGAAACAATTGGAGAACCTGTTAAAATGCAAATTTTCAGGCCAATCTGATTCTGCAGCTGTGGGGTGGAACAAGGAATCTGCATAGTTTGATAGGCAGCCCTTCCACTGTATCCGTTCCACTTTGAGAGCTACATATGGGTTGTGTTGAAGTAGTCAGTCATGTCTTTTGCTGTAGGGAAAGCAAGGAAACCAATAAACATTTTTTAGCAGTTGAGTCAGATAAAGTTGAGCTATATAGCCGAAAAGAAACAAATAGTTGGACCATTTTCTAGAAAGTTTTGTAGGAAAAATTGTTCTTGCTATAACCACTTTGGTTTGCAGGCAATCTCAAGATAACACTACAGAATCATGCAACATTTTTTTGCTTTCCATTGCCTTCTCTGTACTCTATTAAGCTCTTGCTTTCTTCTTTCTCACAGGTTTGTGTGTTCTTTCCCTCCCAAGACAATTGGCTTTGCAAAATGCCGCTCAGCACATCCAGGAGATAATACGGAACACAATAACTTTATTTAAAACAGAAAAAATTTTGACAAATGTTAATTGGACCATAGTAGAAGATAAAACGACGATTGAATACATTCCTGTGAGTTGATACCTGGCAAAAAGCAGTCTTCTTTTCCTTCCCTGGGCCTACCTCGCTTGCTTTAGTCTATTGTTAAAAGACCTGATTCTGCTAATTAAATTGGGAAGATAGTTACTAGCTTTGCTATTTTGGAGAAATGACTTTGAATTCTGTCTCTAAAGACAAGGTCTTGGTTATCCAGCTTTATTTGCCAAATACCAGGAGAATGAATGGTTTTTTTTTTTTTTTTGTTTTTTTGTTTTTTTTTTTTTGAGACGGAGTTTCGCTCTTGTTACCCAGGCTGGAGTGCAATGGCACGATCTTGGCTCACCGCAACCTCCGCCTCCTGGGTTCAAGCAATTCTCCTGCCTCAGCCTCCTGAGTAGCTGGGACTACAGGCACGCGCCACCATGCCCAGCTAATGTTTTGTATTTTTAGCAGAGACGGGGTTTCACCATGTTGACCAGGATGGTCTCGATCTGTTGACCTCATGATCCACCCGCCTCGGCCTCCCAAAGTGCTGGGATTACAGGCTTGAGCCACCGCGCCCGGCAAGAGAATGAATGTTTTTGCAATCTGGCTGGTTGAGTACGAATCAATGGCCTCTGCCAAGATGATGTTTTCAATGGCTTAAGATAAGAATTCTCTCCTGGTAGAAGTGTTATAAAAAGCAGAAAACACAGGCTGATTTAGAGAGCAGTCAAGCATGTAGATAGGTTTAGAGACGAATTTGAGATATAAGTCTCCCCAAATGAATACTTACTTCAGCACAATTGAAGGCAACACTTCTTATATGTGAAAAAACATTACCCAAGTTATACATAGCTCTTCATTCTAGCAATTCTCCTTTGAATTATTGGAATCTTTGTTAAATGTAGCATTTGCCAGCTCTTAATCATTTTTACTTATTTTTAACTTTATCTCTTTATGTTTTAAAATGTCGTCTGATACGGTTCAGTTTTCCCATGTTTCACCTAAGGAAATGAAGAAGGAATCCCCAACAGATGAAGTTTTAATAGAAGAAGCCAGATTGCATGTTGCTGTAATACAAATGGTTGGTGCTGTTCACATAATGTTTTGAAATTTCTTTTCTTGCAATGTCTTTAATCCTTGCATATGGTTTTCAGATGACTTGAAAACTTTTCTTCACCTTCTGAAAGTCTATTGATTGTTAAAATTAATGTGTGACTTTTTAAAGTTAAGAAAAAAAATCTCCTTCCTGAGGCTTTCAGTCACAAACCTTATTATCCTGTTTCTATGTCTGGCAAATTTTAGCAGTCACTTTTGAGGGCTCTTAGAATAATGTTTGGTGCTATTTACATACTGATTAGACATTTTCAAATATTTAAAATTGCTTTTACAAATTTAACATATCTGAGTTCCTTTTATACAAAATTTTCTCAAGTGCTTATTTAACTATTAGAGATGTAATAAACTAAAATAAATCTGATGAATCAAAAATTCTCTTGAAATGTTATAATACTAATATTTAAATGTTCTAATATAAACATAGGAAGATTACCTGGTAAAATCAAGCTTAAACCAGCTTATCAAATTGTACATTGTAAACTGGAATTATGATCTAATAGAACACATTTTATTCAATATAAAATGTATATAAAATACTAATTATGCCCAGAATTTTTGTCTATTTTTAAAACTTATTGTCAATATTAAGAATTCCTAACATATGCAGAAGCAGATAGACTTGTGTAATAAAGCCTCACGCACCCATCACCCAACCTTAAAAAACATCCACACATGACCAATACCTGCTGCATCCTAACCCACACCTTATGTATTAGTTTGAAAAAAATCATACATGGCATATCATTTCACCTGTAAATATTTTAGTATCTATCTCTAAATTTTAAAGTATTTTAAAAAACATAATAAATTACTAATATTATACTTAAAATGAATAATAATTCCTTAATAATATCAAATATTGAGTCAGTGTAAGATTTCCAGTTGTCTCAAAAATGTGATACATATTTATTTTTACAGTTTATAGTTTGAAATTGAACTCTGATAAAGTCCACACATTGCAATGAACTGATATGCCCTTCAAATCTCTATTAACATATAAATTCCTTCTTTTCTCTCTCATTTTTTTCTGTTGAAGATCATATTTCCCTTTCCTTTCCTTTCCTGGCCATTGCCCCTTACATTTGGAAAGGGAGCTTCAGAATTTGCATAGCCTTTATCAAAGCTGTTACTGGTGAATCATTTTTCTATCTTCTGAAAAAGGAGCTAATGAATGAATAAGAATCATATTGAGATATAAGTGGCATGAATTCGCTCCTTTCCTGAAATGACTATCATCCCTTAAATTTTAAGACTTGAGAAAATATGTTAAATGCAGTAGCAGTTGGAGTCAACATTTTTAAACAATGGATAGGCAAAGTACATGGTCAGTATGTGAAGAAATTTAGGCAGCAGTTCCAGGAGGTAACACTGGGAAATGCTGGCTTAAATAAAGTTAAATGAGTTTCTTTTGGAACTTCTTGTAGAACTTCTCAGAGTTTTTAATATGCTGATGTACATTGAGATTCTTCAAGAGGGACTATTAAATGCAACATTTCCTTACCCTTTCCCCTTCCCTGCATAGTTTTTCTGAATTTAATGTCAGTATTATGTAGAAGCTGTAATTTTTCTGCTATTTTAGGGGGAGGATTGACATAACCATACAGCCTATCTTTTTATTTTGATAGTTCTTTGTGGGGCTGAAATGATTACTTAGAATTAATACTTTGCACACTCTATTCTGCTATAAAAAGATGATGCTACTGATGCTATTTATATTACTAAAGCAAACTCTTTGAGTTGTATATATATATATATATTTTTTTTTTTATCTATTTCTTTTTTTTTTTTTTTTTTGATATGGAGTTTTGCTCTTGTTACCCAGGCTGGAGTGCAATGGCGCAATCTTGGCTCACCATGCCTTCTGCCTCCTGGGTTCAAGTGATCCATAGTGCTTGATTCTCACAGTATAACACTGACTAGAAGGAGAATCAATGATCATGAACAGAGTTAAAAAATGCTTTTCAATCAATATGACTTTATCATTAATCTTTTTTCTTTTTTTTTTTTTTGAGACAGAGTCTCTGTCTTTCAGGCTAGAGTGCAGTGGCATGATCTTGGCTCACTGCAACCTCTGCCCACTGGGTTCAAGCAATTCTCCTGCCTCAGCCTCCCGAGTAGCTAGGATTACAGGCATGCACCACCATGCCTGGCTAATTTTGTATTTTTAGTAGAGACAGGGTTTCACCAGGTTGCCCAGGCTGGGCTTGAACTCCTGGACTCAAGCAATCCACCTGTCTCAGCCTCCCAAAGTGAGCCACCATGCCTGGCTGAGTGGTATACATTTTGATTTTCTAGAAAGCTAAGACTCTTTTTATCTCTCATAACATTCAGGACTGTACTTTATAAAAATGAGTATTCAGTAAACATTTGCATTTAATGAAATTTATTTCCTACTATATAATTTTTTGTAATAGCATATTTTGATATATTGAGTTCAATAATAATAGTGAGACTATGTAAGGGTTAAGAAAAATACATTCATGTTTTGATCTTTTGTAATCTTCATTTAAAATTGTATGTTTAGAGTAGCTTTGAGCAACAGCATAATGATGGAATTCTTGAAATAGAGGCAGCCCAGATATTAATTGGTGCAGCAAAAAGCTATTGCCTCATCCAAGGAAAGTAAGTGTAACACTTCTTTAACTGATATTTCCAAAATCAAATGGTTATATGATGAAGAATGAATAAACTGAGAATTAAATGTCCAGATGGATCAATCCATTATTTCACATATCTATATCTAGCCATCTTCTGTCTGTCCATCTGTCTCGTCCTTCCATACATCTATTCATCTACTTTTAATTTCATTTGTTTACATTTCTTCCCCTAAAGTTTTATAACCCTGGTGACATTAGGGGATTCTGGAGAAAGATTGAACTGTCATGTAATTAGATAAAACACCAGGGAATCCATGAAAAGGAACTTATATAGCTTCAATTACTATTATAATTATTTTGCCTTTATATTATCTTCACTTTAAATTACCAGACAGATGAGGTACAGAAGCCTGGAGGCTGCCATTAGACTGCTCCCTGGGGTGGAGCAAGCTCTGGAAGAATTGGCCCAACTGCTGATGCTGACAAGTACAATTAAGTCTGGTGGGAAAAGCTCAGTATCTTAGAGATACATTGATCTCTTGTTATAGTCCTGGAAAACATTAGATAATAGATGATCCAACACAAAACTGTGGGGCAATAATGATAGGAGATCCTGGCTGGATGATACATACATTTCAGCGGCCAGGTAATCTATTTGGAAGATCTATTATCAGTCCCAGGAATAAAGTTTGGGAAGGGTAGAGCCTTCAGGGCCTTGGAGGGGGTTGTGCTGGAGCCGCATGACAAAGGAAAGCTTGATTCCAAACTCCAAAGAATTGTTCTAGAGAAGCTTTACTTATGTGTGATCTCTGGTCAGGAACAGAGGCAGCAGGAGTCTCATACTAAAAATGCTCCTGTACCATGACCATGGGGTGGATAGGTGGATGGACTCAGAGGCTTGTGACTGAGCATATTTGGTGGGTCCATGTTAAATTTATACTTAGTACACCTCCCCCTTTTATATTAACCCAAAGTAATACTTGCTTTTTATTATAACACAAATGTATATTTTTCTCTGTTAGATTCATGAGTATTTACGATGTTTCATCTTATGTAAGTGCTAGAAGTTGGCTTATAAAGTTTAAAAACGTTTTAACTTTCTTGGACTATCCTAAAGAAAAGATACTTTTTATTCCACCTGAGTAAGTATTGTGAACCTTTAATAGAAACATACTTGAAAATACTACCATTTCTACATTGTCAGAACAGCTTATCTCAATTTTCCTTATTTAAAAAAAAAACTATATTATGGTTGATTTTCACTGATTGCGTGGTGCTTGCTTCTCTTCCTCCATTCTGTTTCAGCAACTTCATTGACATCTCTATTAGAGAGTAGTCAGGAAGGAAAAAAGGATGGTCATATTTGAATACTGCAAGTTTTAATTGCTGTGTCTGAAGGTTATAGTGTGTTGTTGGCTGCTTAATATTCTCCTGGGTATAACATAGAGCAAGGGTGAGAAATATCTAACTGGTGACTAGATCTAGCTCTGTTTAATTTCACCTGTGCTATCACGTGATTCTGTTGATCTATAATTAGGAAAAACACAACATGGCCTGCATAATACCTGTAACCAATTTTCCAAAATACCACGAAATACAGATTTTACTTAACTGGGGTGGATTTTTTACTTCGTTATATAAATTGTGAGCTTACATACTTTTTAGAGTGCAGAGACATAACTTTTCTACCAATAGAAGATGTCAAAACAAGATCATACCAAGAGCATTAATGCTGCTAAATTTTAAATGAGGATTAACCTTTTATAACAAATTCTAATTTGTTATAAATTTTAACTTTTTTCTATTTAATAAGTTTAAAGAGATATAAAAAATCAAAACTGTAGAATCTTCACATATATCCAAAGAATCTCTTTTTGTCATGCTCTACATTAGGCAAATTGAAAAGTTTTAAGAAGTATGTGATATAGTAATTATTTAATAAGACTATTTATTTCTCACTCGATTTTAAACAATCCAATGTATAATTCATTTTCTTCCAAACTTATTTGTTTCTTGCTTTTATTTATGAACCTTTGCATTGTTTCCAAGACACTGTAGCCTTGATTTTTAAAAATGCTTCCCCCATCCCTGATATGGATTTTTAAAAATGATATTTTTTATTTTTTTCCATTATAATGTTTATGTACAGGAAATATGCTTTTGATTTTTATTATTATTTTATATTATCTGTAGTCTTCAAATTATTTTTAATGATTTGTTTAAACAAATGTTGAACTTCAGCTGCTAATTATACTTTTAAGTGATCTAACATTTTATTTGGTCTCTTTTCAGGAGTAATATATTTCTGACTTCTGTATTTCACATAGTATTTTCTGAAGAATTTGAATATGCAGGACACATTATACATCTGATATATATTTATCCTCTGATAATACAACTGTGGCCAATGGCAAGAGAGTTAAATGGGTCAGCACTGATAGCGATGAACTACTATTTTATATTTTTGTATGTATTAGAATCAACATTGAAGGTACTGTTTAAAATAGAAATATAATCTATAAAAAGAGCAATTCAGGTATTTTGAATCTATTTTTGTCATATTATTGAAGTAACTTGATCCAAGAGCCATTTGCTATGATAATTAATGAGATCCTGGAAATTTAGTAACCTTTTTGAATTTTCTAAGTTTTATAGTGAAATTAGTATAAAAGTCATGGTATTGGACATCAGCTAAGTATCATAAAAGTAGAGAGATTCTCCACTTGAATCCGGGAGGTGGAGGTTGCAATGGGTCTTAAAAAAAAAAAAATAGTACAAATTACAACTTTACAGTGTGACGTAAGATTTGGTATCTATATTTATCACAGTTTTTCACCATCTTTTGGTTTAGTTTATATTAGCTTCAGAAAATGGAAGTTTTAAATAGAATAGGCATCTCCACTATTTTTAAAATGGCTTTTTATGTTACCTCTCTTCTTGCCAATTTTGTTCATTTTTATTTGTAGCAAACATATCAATGAGTTTTAGTATAGGTTCATATCTATATTGTATTTAAATCAACTATGGGTTTATATAAATGCCAAATTTAGAACAATAGATTTAGATCATCAGTGAATACAAGTATTTTTTTTTAACGTGAAACATATTTTATTATAGAAAAAAGATTAATGAGGCCAGGCACAGTGTCTCATACCTGTAATCCCAAAACTTTGGGAGGCCGAGGTGGTGAAACCCTTTCTCTACTAAAAATATTTTAAAAATTGCTGGGCGTGGTGGCAGGCGCCTGTAGTCCCAGCTACTCGGGAGGCTGAGGCAGGAGAATTGCTTGAACCCAAGAGGCGGAGGTTGCAGTGAGCCAAGATTGCGCCACTGCACTCCAGCCTGGGTGACAGAGCAAGACTCTGTCTCAAAAAAAAAAAAAAAAAAAGAAAAGAAAAAGAAAAAAGATTAATAATAAAGTCATATTGGTTGAAAAATATATTTTAACTCTGTTCATGATCATTGATTCTCCTTCTATTCTGTGGTATACTGTGTGAATCAAGCACTATGTCATAAAGAGCATTTCCCTGTTAATAATTACAAACTGAAGTGATAGAGGCATGTCAGAATTGAGAAAACACTTCGAAGCAAAAGCAATGTGATGTACTCTATTTTATTATGTTTGTATGTAAATACTATCGTAAATTGATCAGAGTGAAAACATTTGACAAACTCTAACGCTAAAATCAATTTTTCTAAATTACATAAATAAACCTAATTTTCTTAAAAAAGAAAAAAAAAAAAAGGAGACAGATTCCCAAGGATCAGGTAAAGAAGAACTGAAAATCCAGACAGGGATGTTTTCCTCAAATATTTTTTGAAATGATGCAAGAAATAAATAAGTGAATAAGAATTGGTTTGCTAGGCCCTTGTCATAAAATGTGAGTTAATTATTCGTATAAATGTGTAAAAGGTGATTTATCAGCATTACTATTTTCACATTTTATTATTAATAGTATTGCAATGAACCTGTTTATTGCTATTTTTAATGCTTGTTTTTGGCAATCTAACTTTATTATAGAGTATATATTTTTAATCAAATTATAATTTTTGATATTGAAGATTTAAAAGAATTTTGGGGGGATTCCAAATCAATAACTTAAAGCTCAACTTTTGGAATATAACTCATTTGTAGTCAAGAATCTAATCGTTAATTTTATAGATTCCCCCCCAACATTACTGTATAGGTGCTATGAAATGACACTTGTTTCTATTTGTTTTCTATACAGATAATAATTCTGAAAAGGAAATATTTTCAACAGTTTTGGAATGTTTTGGAATTTTCTATCCTGGTCACTGGAATCATTGATATCTTTTTTATGTACCTTGTGAAACGGATACCAAACAGCTTGACTCTTATTCAGGTTACAGTAGTAACAGAATATTTAAGACTCATTAGGTTTCTTACTCTCTTCAAGGTAAAATTTCATATTTTAAAATATTAAGATTTGCCAGGAGTGGTAGCTCATGCCTATAATCCCAGCACTTTGGGAGGCTTAGTTGGGCGGATTGCATGAGTCCAGAAGTTTGAGACAACTTGGGCAACATAGCAAGACCCCATCTCTACAAAAAATTAAGAAATTACCTGAGCGTGATGGTGTGCACCTGTGGTCCCAGCTACTTGGGAGGCTGAGGTGGGAGGATCGCTTGAGCCCAAGAGGCTGAGGCTATAGTGAGCCAAGATTGTGCCATTGCACTCCAGCAGACAGAATGTGATGATGGCTCTGGTGACAGAGGCAGACCCTGTCTCAAAAAAAGTAATAAATAATAAAATAAAATATTAAGATTCTTTTCCTACACTGTGTGTTAAGAAACCCCATTGTTGTGCTCGCTTCGGTGGCACATATACTGAAATTGGAACGATACAGAGAAGATTAGCATGTCCCCTGCGCAAGGATGACATGCAAATTCTTGAAATGTTTCATATATTAAAAAAAAAAAAAATGAAAAGAAAGAAAGAAGCCCCATTGTCGTGAAAGAAATGAAACAGAAGTTGTCCCTTCTGGAACACCCTCTCAGTAGGTATCTGCGTGGTTCCCTCCCTCACTACCTTCAAGCCATTGCTCAAATCTCACCTTGCCACAGAGGCCTCCCCTGACCAGCCTATGTCAACTGGCAACTCACCCTTCACACCCTCAATTCTACCTCATTCTCCTGATTCCCCTCTACCTGCTTAACTTTGATTTTTCCCCACAGTACTTATCAGCTATAATTGTATATACCGTCCATGAGGTAGAGATCTTTGTTTTGGTCTTTCTTTTTCCATTTTGAATAGAGATGGGATCTCACTATATTGCCCAGGCTGGTCTCAAACTCCTGGGCTCTGGCAATCCTCCTGTTTCAGCCTCCCAAAGTGCTGGGATTACAGGCATGAGCCACTGTACTCAGCCTGTTTTGGTCATTGATGTAACTAACCTCTGCCTCCAGAACAGTGCTTGGCATATAGTAAGTACTTAATAAATATTTGTCGAGTGAATGAATGAAAATCTGGGTGCCGCTTGAAGCAGGGTAACCCAAAGACAAGTTCTTGAAGTTTCAGTAAAATTTATTGATGTCTCCCAAACTGTGCAGAAACAAAAAATATTTTCTCCACAGCTCCACAGTCACATGGCATACTACCTATGGAATTAAATTATGCTGTGGCCTTCAATTGCCTTCACAATTGCTATGCCTTCTTTCCCTGACTCTGGTTTTGATTCTGAAGGCAGATTTTTATACTTTCAGTTTCTACTCTTATGCCTCCTTTCTCTCTTTCCAGTGGAGTTGCATTATATAAGGTTTTAACTTGGGGGCTTTAATGATTTCACTTGCCATGCCATGTTTGTTGGTGTTTAATTCTTATTACATCAAGCAAATCTCTTATATTAGTATTTATTGAAGTTATATAGAGAGACTTAACATTTTTAAAAATTGCAATAAGCCCTGATGGTAAACTGCACACTTTATACTCCTCCACCTAGTCCCCATTCTCCACCTTTAATAGTTATCTTTAAAGCAGAATTGTTTGACTATCCAGCTTGTGCTTACAGACTTTCTTTTTTGTTCCTTCATTTATTCTGCATTGGTGTAACCAAACTTTAGCGTTCAGAAGAATTACAGTTCAGAGTTACTGTACCTGGTTTAAAGGGTAATTTTGATTCGATGTGCTTTTTGCCTTATGAGCTGAGTTTGGAGCAAAGGACTCATTTAAGGCATAACTCCACCATCATGGAAACTATCCTAGAAATCAGGATGTGTTGTGTGAGGCTAATTGTTGAGATGGAAGATAGAAGTTTCTTTAGGTAATCAGTATTTATATAGAGGTCGTATGCAGGTAAATGTAAAATAATTATTTTGGAAATAATACTTTGTGAAAAGTATTTAAAATGAAACAAAGATTTAAAAATGTATTATTGTGGAAATGGTCACAGGGGAGCAACAGCTATCTGGGATGGTGGCCCGGTAGCAAAATAATTTACCAAGACAGTTGTAGATAAAGAAAGGCAGATTTATTAGAGAAAGTAGGAAAATACATTGCCAGGGAAACAATGGGCAGCCTGCAAGAAAGAAGCTGACTGCAAAGAAACAAAGGCTTGCTGGAGATTTTATAGGATGGTGCGTCCACTGCCTGCTGCAAGGGCTTTGTGCTGTTAATGCCACAGTTGCAGTGAGCTAACTTGCAGGTGTCTGGTGGTAGTTGGGCACAGAAGATTTTGAGCTGTTTGTGCAGGAAGGCAATGTGTCCTGGACCATGAAGAAAGGCAGACTTGCAGCTTATCTGCTGTTGCTTTTTGCTTTCCCCTGCTCCCACCAGGCTGACTCCTTTTGCCTAATTAGGGACGTCACATAAACCAAATCTATTTAGAGTGTGGGCAGCAATGTTCTGAACCAGTTGTCCCTTCTGTCTAGCATGCTCTGACAAATCTCAGTGAAGTATATTACCATGGTTTTTAATTGAACACTCCCTATTTTCCAGGAATTGTGTAAAGCACTTTACATAAATTGTCTAGTTTAATTATTAGAACAGCCCTGTGAGGTAGATGTCACCACTATGTAAAGTTAGGTGGCTCATAGCCAGTCTCAGCATCATGTGGCTTTCAAAAGAGACAAACTTGCACTGGAAAACTTGAAAGAATATTGGTGAGCTTTAGGTGCCCTAAAAGAAAGCTCATGGAGTGTCAGTGCACTGTGGAGTATAACTTTGAAAAAATCCTCTTTAGGATGTGGAGAAATAGGAATGCTTTTACACTGTTGGTGGGAGTGTAAATTAGTTCAACCATTGTGGAAGACAGTGTGGTGATTCCTCAATGATCTAGAACTAGAAATACCATTTGACCCAGCAATCCCATTACTGGGTATTTACCCAAAGGATTATAAATCGATCTATGATGAAGACACATGCACACATATGTATATTGTGTCACTGTTCACAATAGCAAAGACTTGGAACCAACCCAAATGCCCATCAATGATAGACTGGATAAAGAAAATGTGGCACATATACACCATGGAGTACTATGTAGCCATAAAAAAGGATGAGTTCATATCCTTTGCGGGGACATGGATAAAGCCGGAAACCAACATTCTCAGCAAACTGACCCAAGAACAGAAAACCAAGCACAGCATGTTCTTACTCATAAGTGGGAGTTGAACAATGAGAACACATGGTCACAGGGAGGGGAACATCACACACTGGGGCTTGTCAGGGGGTGGGGGGCTAGGGGAGGGATAGCAGGGGTTGGGGGCTAGGGGAGGGATAGCATTAGGAGAAATACCTAATGTAGATGATTGGGGATGGATGCAGCCAACCACCATGGCATGTGTATACCTATGTAACAAACCTGCACAATCTGCACATGTACCCCAGAACTTAAAGTATAATTTAAAAAAAAGAAAAAAATCCTCTTTAAATATCTCTCTCTGTGCCCAAAGTTTCACAGGCAAAATAACAGCTTAAAAAAAAAATTTCCTTCTCTGCTCTTGTACTTCCTTCACTATGATGCCATCTTCCAGTTCAGTTTTTTTTCTCCCTTGTTACCCAACCCCTCACCATCTACCCCTGTGCTCTGACATGACTTTAACCCTTTGGGAAGCCCCCATCTGTGTGATTGACTACGTGCATTTTGAGGAGCAGCCCTATTGGAATTCTGGTACTTAGATATTATTTCCTCATTTTACGCATGAGGAAACTGAGTCCTCAAAGTCACTAAGTAACGTGCTCAAGGTCATAGAGCTGGTGAATAGGAGAGCTGGCATTTGAATTTAGGGAGGAGTATATTTAAAATTCCATTCTCTTAAGCCGTGACACTAGCCTGCCTTAGCTTATGGTTGGAAAAATATAGAGCTAAGCAACATCTTAGATACCCTAAGTTCCTTATTTTCCAAGTGAAGAAACCGAGGCACAGAGTGATAATTTGTTCCGTGGGTATCTATTACCCAGCTTAGGAGACCTAATTAGAGGTCTCCTGAAATCTGGGGGTACAGAGAATGAGGGAAAAGGCAGTGCTGGAGACTTTATTCACTAAGCTTCACCTTCTTGCGAGGATGGGCCTTAGACTTTTGTATGCACAGAATCACCTGGAGGACTTGCTAAGACACCGACTGCCGGGCCCCACCCCAGAGTGTCTGATTCTGCAGGTCTCCAGTGTGACCTGAGAATTTGCATTTTTAACAAGTTACTGGGCTCTGCTGTTGCTGGTCTGGAGATGACACTTTAAGAACTTCTGCCTCGGAGGGTGCCTATCCTCATCAAATTTACAGTTTTTTCTTCTCCTCATTATTCCAGATAATAATACCAGTACTGTTACGTATTGTAAATGTGCAGATCGAAAAGCGCCTCAGCTTGATGTACAGTATTACAAAAGGCTATATCAAAAGTCAAGAAGATGCCAAACTTCTAATAAAACAAATATCTGGCCGTGAATCAATATATAAGGTGAGAAATAAGCACTGATCATTTGGGAGAAAAACTTCTGAGGCGTATTAACTTCTTTTAAGACTACTTCTATGTAGATTTGATCAAACAGACAAACTCCAACAGTTGAAAGGGATTTAATTGCTCATTATAGCATATGAGGCACTGCAGAGAACAGTCTCTGATCATTACATTTCAGCTGTTATCGTCAAACTCATTATCTTCAGAGCAGAAAATATATGATCTATTTTCTTCTTCTTTTTTTTTTTTTTTTTTTGAGACGGAGTCTCACTCTTTCACCAGGCTGCAGTGCTGTGGCACAATCTCGGCCACTGCAATCTCCACCTCCTGGGTTCAAGCAATTCCCCTGCCTCAGCCTCCCAAGCAGCTGGGACTACAGGCACGCACCACCACACCTGGCTAATTTTTGGTATTTTAGTAAAGACGGGGTTTCATCGTGTTGACCAGGATGGTCTTGATTTCCTGAGCTTGTGATCCACCTGCCTCGGCTTCCCAAAGTGCTGGGATTGAGCCACCACTCCCGGCCCATATGATCTATTTTCTGAGTGCAGAGGATAGAGAAGAGATCCAGTATGTCTCTGTAACATTCTCTGAAAGACAGGGCACTTGAGAAGGTGTTAAGCAGGAGTTGAGACTTGAATGAAGCTTCAAAGAAAGGGTAAGTCTTGAGGGGAGAGGAAGAGAGGGAAAGAGAACCAAGATTTGACAGTGAAAACTTGAAATCCTGGTACGGTGGGGCAGGTGAGTAGAAGTATTTATTTTTTATCATTTAAGACCCTCCTCATTTCCAGCCACTATGCAGTAAGCACCAGATAAAAGCCTAGCGGTGGAGTGAATCCCGTTCTAACAAAGCTCCCTCACACCAGTCTGTCTACTATCAGCCACTCGCAAAAGAGTGGGAAAAGTGGAACGTGACTGCTGTGTGATTCTCATGCTTCTTTGGGCCTGATAATGTAGAGGTGACTCGCGTTCTTCAGATAAAAAAACTTCCTTATTTTTCACTCATAACTGTCAACTCTCGTGAGACTTTTTCAATTGATTTTCCAAGTTACAAATTTTTAAATCTCTAGTTGTATTCATTCTGCTGTTCAGCCCATCTATTAAGCTTTTTAAATTTTTTTGACACTTACTTTTTGATCTCAAAAAACTGTGGTTGCTTCCTTTTCATAACAACTGTTTACTTTAAAAAATTAATATAATATTATCTTGAGTCTTCTTTTTATCTTAAAAGTTTTTTTTTTTTGTTTTGTTTTTTTGTTTTTTGCTTCCTGTGTTAATTCTGCTTCCTTGGGGTTCATTCTCCTGTTTGTTGTGTTTGGTTTCTATATTTCATTCTGTTTTTGCCCCCAGTGTTTGGTGATTTTGGTTATATTTTCACATGTGTCAATGAGAGTCTACGGGAACAGTATCAACAGCTGAAAGGTGTTTTCTCAGCCCAGGTGACCTTGATTTCTAACCAGCGATGGATTTAAATACTGATTACTAAAGCCCTAGATACAATGATTGTGTGGATACATAAAACCATGAATGGCCTAGAGGTTATCTCTTCTGGTTAGAGTGCCTATTTTTTGTGGTGGCTGTTATGTTACCTCTGACTCTTAGTCAAGAGAGGCTCTTATTGAAATCAGAAGAGGAAAAGAGGCTGTGAAGATACCTACCTTTATTGGATTGAACATTAGTGTGTAACAGAATTCTGTCCTGTTGATTTACTTTGAAGAATGGAGAAGAAAATTGAACTACTCAAAGGCTAGATTGATCTGCATTAGAAAGAACATAGAGCTATTCATAGGAGAAAAGATTTCAGAAGCAGAGGAAGAGAGAAGAAAAACAAGAGGCAGTGGGGGGAGTTAAGGATGTGTTTTTAGGAATCTGGGAGAAGATGCAGAGAGTTGATGACACAGGTGTGTCCTTAATGTGTCACAGGTGAAGTGAATCCCCTGTGGCATTTTTAAAGAGACACCAGTAAAGATTTAAATGGTCTTTTGAGATGTGTTTATTCTGGAACTGACTTGGTTCTGGAAATTGGCCTGTGGCAGCTCACCTTAAGAAAAATAAATGTATGTCCATGCCTTCATAATTACATTCTCTTTGTAGGCAGAAGTCAGTTCCCATTCGCTCTTGTGCAAAGGCTTTCTAGAGCAGTCTTGCAGGATTGCTGTAAGTCTAGTTTGATGGGAAAGGGGGCTAGCTGCTGTTTTTGTACCTATGCAAGCAGGGCTGGACTAGGTATGTTGGTGCCATGGATAGGCTACTAATTTGGCACCCTCCCAATATTGATGCAGTATTATCGAGTAAGAAGAAATAAATTAATAAAAATTACATAACTTATTCTTATATTCACAATGAGGGATTCATTACATGTGATTTTTTTTCTAAACCAAAACAAACACAAAAATAACCAAAAAACCCACAAAAACTTAACTTTGTTTAAAATTTAGATAACAAGCCAGTTGTTCCCTGTAAATAGCACTATGCCGTGCGTTATTTGGCAGTTTCAGACATCTGTACCTGACCACTCTAAAGAACTGTCAGTTGTTTGATTCCACGACTGTTGCTGTAGCCAAGTGCAAACTCCCCAGTGACTCAAAGCTAGAGGGTAAACTTCATGAGGAGAAGTGCCTGGGACATAGTGGGCATCCAACAAATATCTGTTGTATGATTGATTAAACAGAGATTGGTTAGCCCTGGAGTGCAGTGATTTATTCAGTTATCCAAGGAGTTATTTTTAAGAAATATGAACTAATCAATATCACATTTTCTCATTTTTCCACTTCTTTTTGTGCTCCTGATAGTCTAGCTTCCCAACTAGCTGCTCTGTTGGCTCACTCCCAGATCAGGGTCTGTCAGTGAGAATTCTCAGTGCACAGTGGAGTGCATATTAATCTTTCCTGAGAACTGTTAGGCACAGTAGTTAGGCAAGCTACTGACTGTACTACACTCATTGATTGAGACTGATGTCTGAGCATGAGCAAAGAAGCAGAATTGACCCAGAGGGAAGAATTGAGTCAATAGCTTTTCTAGATTTAACTAAGTGAAATTTCTTCTACCATACTTCCTTTTGTCAGAATTTAAAAGGAAAGCCATCTGGGTGTGGTGGCTCATGCCTGTAATCTTAGCACTTTGGGAGGCTGAGGTGGTGGATCACTGGAGATCAGGAGTGTGAGACCAGCCTAGCCAACATGGAGAAACCCCATCTCTACCAAAAATACAACAATTAGCTGGGCATTGTAGCTCACGCTTGTAATCCCAGCTGCTCGGGAGGCTGAGGCACGAGAATCTCTTGAACCTGGGAGGTGGAGGTTGCAGTGAGTCGAGATCACGCCACTGAACTCCAACCTAGGTGGCAGAGCAAGACTCCATCTCAAAAAATAAAAATAAAATGAAAGCCAGAAGTGTACTTGGTGGAATAAGTATACTTCTTGGAAGTACACTTGGTATAGTAAGATATGCATGTTTTTCTTAATATCTTACAGAAACTATATGAAATTTTGGAAACCAACAAACAGGATGCTGTCAAAGAATTAGGTAGGTAGTTCAAGTATCTGAGTTCTTAAAGTCACACCTTATTATTCCATAATTTAATAAAAGAAGAAAAATTTATGCTTTCATTTACTTACCCATTCATTTATGCACTCAACAAGCATTTATTAAACACAGCTAATGGGCCAGGTATGGAAAAGCAGAGATGGGAAACCCCAACCCTTAAACAGAAGTGTATAAGCATATCAATAGATAATTGCAGAGTTAGCAGAGTCCTATTAGTTGTTACCAGAGTGTAGAGGAAAGAATGAGAGGAGTGTGGAAAGTGTATTAAGGTGGCGAGGTCAGAGTCCTCAAGATTAGAAGAAAAAGACACATGAAGGTTACCTGTGACAAGATGGTTTTGTTTTGTTGTTTTGTCTTTTGCAAAGATACTCTGGAATGTAGGGCTGCAAGAAATGTCACTTCTCGAGTATCTATAGTCACTCCACTTTACTTGAAGCATGGAGCAGGAGCCCAGGAATTTAATACCAGGTTTTGTGGGTCAGCTTTCCTCATGTGGGGCTGTGGAGCAGGCTTTCAGTGTGTGCAAAAGCATCTGGTAGAGGGTCTGGTACATGTAAGGCCCTTAATAAATGGAAGTTATCAGAAAAGAAATAAAGTAAATAAAGTAAAACCATTTCGTATTCGTGACTATGCTGTAAGACACCATATGATTACGCTTTCCAAATCAAAATGGAAAGTATGTGGTCTAATGAATGAAAGTGTAAGTTTAGAGACAATAGGTTAGAATATTTTGGCATCGTCTCGGAAAACCCATGACCCATTGTTGCCATTTACGTGTTGACAAGTTTTTATTTTCTTTTAAAGATTAAGGGATTAGGATAGCTGCTTTATATTATGTTTTAGATCAGTATGGAATATTACAAAGTTTTCTCAGTTCACTACTCTAAAAGGCAGTGCTTGTTTCCATGTGGTTACTGGAACTGATTACTGAATGCTTATCGTGGCAGGAACTGCTAACTGCTTTATATACATTAACTCGTTTTATCCTTATAATTACTCTGCGAGGCAAATATATTATTAGGGAGGTTAACTTGCCCGAGTAAGTAGTGAGCCAGGTCTCTAGCCCAGGTGTGTTTGACACTAAAACCTATGCTTTCGATCATTGCTACCTTTCACTTTAGTGGTCAATTCATTTTAGTTAAAAAAATGAGTGAATACCTTCAATATGGCAAGCATTGTGCTCCATGTTGAATATGAAGATGAAACAGATGCAGTTTTAACCTTGACTCACAGTCCAGTTCATGTTTACTAAAGGGGAAAGAATATGCGCCTTGATCTCAGAAACACCCACCAGGGTGGGGAGGGAGTGTGGGGGAGAAACCAGTTTCCAATTTTCTCATCCATAAAGGAGAGTTGAAAATAACAAGAGTTATTTTCAGCCCTATTTTATGAGGTCTTGTGACTGACCTCACAAGTTCTGCGTGAAACTAGAATGAAAGAATTTTGTGTAGATGCTTTGGAAATTATACAGTATTATACTAATATTAGTTATTGTGGTTATCACACAGGCCACTTACTGAATTTTATTTCCTTTGCTGTAGGACTCATAGAGCATGAGTGTCGTGATGTTGTCATTGCTTTGAAGACTAAGCAGGCAATCCGAAATGTGATTGCTGAAGCTCTAAAAAATCTCACCTTCCTTTGGTCAAGAGGCATTATTGATAAACATGAGGGCATCGAGATGAATAAGGTAATTTTACTTGATTCTATCTGCATAACACCCCAGCCTTCATGGTTACTTTAGCAGTGTGTAATGAGGATGAAGATTGAAAAAAAGTGTTTAACTGCAGGTGTTAACTCTATAATCACCTGTAGCCTTTGATAATGCAAAGGACAACCAATGCCAATGCTACCCGGTGTGCTACATTTGTCAAAACTACTTGATTGCAAGTAACAGAAACCAACTTGAACTAAGTGTAGTAAAAAAATGATTGGGGGATGTATTAAAAGTATACAGAGTGCTTTATAGAACCCACAACAACCAGGCTATGTGACAAGGCCTAAGGAAGGGATTTGAACACGGATCTAGAAAGCTTCCTAGATTCTCCATTTCCTAACAGGGTTGCCATCTATGGCATTTTTCTTTGGCTCCCTCTATAGACTTACTAGACTTTTCTGCTTCTCCATCCACTGTGTCAACTGAATTATGAAGACAATAGGTTCAATCTGAGTTAATAAATCAGTGAAAATAGTAATAAGGGAAGACAAGGGACAAAAATGATTAGAGGAATTTAGATAGGATGAGAAAAGCCATGAGTCAAACAAGGTTCAACTTGCCTAACAGTAGCTTATTTAGATTTCCTTAGTTTTTGCCTCATGTCTATTTTCTGTTATAGGATCTGATCCCCATTATTGTGATTATTTTTAGGTACTTCTTAAAAAAATAAAAGCACTAAATAACATTCCAATGGCAATCCCACCCCCAACTCCTGACAAATACCTTCATAATATCATTTGGCTGGAAGGTAAAGATGTTCTCATTCAGTTCTTCAAGGTAAAGATTCTGTTTTCTGTTTTGGTTCAGGTTTGATAATTACCCATTTTTCCCACTCCCTAATGAAAGGTTTACAGAAAAGCATATTCCATACTGGCCAATTCAGGGAAAGCCAAAATGGAAGCCCAGGAAAGCCTAGAGGAAGAATAGATCTCTTTTTGAGCCTAAAGGGCAAAGATAGTTTTGCACAATGGCTTATCTGATTAGGAGTAGCTCTAGGTGTCTATTACCAATCCCATTCTATTTTATGTTGTAGACTTCTCGATGTACACACAGGGAGAGACATTTTTTGGAGCAAGGATCTCAAATTTAGGTTACTGCACAGACCAGGCAGATAGTATAAAAGTAAAGCCGATTGGGCATAGTATAATAGGGAACAGTGAGAACTGAGGAGTATTCAAGTTCATGCTCTGTCAGCTGAGGGTTGTCACAGGACTTTGGACTCTTTCAACAAATATCTATTGAATATCCTCTACAAGCCGGAGACTGTTCTAGGTTTTGGGATATGGCAGTAAACAAAACAGATGAAGTCAACTACTTTCTTTTTTTTATTTTTATTTTTATTTTTATTTTTAGATAGAGTCCCACTCTGCCGCCCAGGCTGGAGTGCAGTGGTGTGATCTCAGCTCACTGAAATTTCCGCCTCCTGGTTTCAGGTCATCCTCCTGCCTTAGCCTCCAAAGTAGCTGGGATTACAGGCATGTGCCACTGTGCTCAGCTAATTTTTATATTTTTAGTAGAGACAAGGTTCTACCATGTTGGCCAGGCTGGTCTTGAACTCCTGACCTCAAGTGATCTGCCGCCTTGGCCTCCCAAAGTGCTGGTATTACAGGTGTGAGCCACCATGCCTGGCCGAAATCCCTACTTTCATAAAGCTTATATTATATGGATGGAGATGGACAATAAACACACCAAACACATAAATATATAGCCTATCAGGCCTATCAGATGGTTGTAAGTGCTAGAGAAAAATAAGGTGAGAAAAGGTAATATGGAGAGGCCATGGAAGGCTGCTCTAACAAGGTGACATTTGGAGAGAGATGTGAAAGAAGTAAGGGAGCAACCCAGGTAGATGTCTTAGTGAAGAGCACTCCAGGCAAAGGGAGTAGTGGGTGCAAGGAGGCCCCGACGCAGGATGTGTCTGATGTGTTCCAGGAGCAGCACAGAGGCCCCTGGCAGGAGCAGTGCTGGAGGGACCACATGAAGTCAGTTGCAGAGAGCCTGAAGAACATAATGACTCTCAGGGGCCCTGGGCACTTCTGCCTTAGTGGACCTCTTCCTCCACAAAAAGCATTAAAAATTAGACTTTATGATTGTATTAGTATAACAGTGAATATATTAGTATTACATAATAAAACATTTTTCTCTTATACAACTAGTTTTCCTCCTTCTGATTCTAAAAAACATTAAAACATTGTTGTAAATGTCTAAAAGTATTGTAGATGCAGGCGCTGCGCCTGCGGATGCCTAGTGGATGGCTCAACCCTGGTCGCCATCCCTCCCTGCCTGAGACATATGCCATCTTTGCTATTACCCTAACTGCAGACATTCATTTGCTTCTGGATCGTGCATATATGAATCTTCTGCCCTGGAGGTCTTCAACTCATGTTATCCGGGCTATCCTCTTTCAAGTCTCAGCTTAGCTGTCCTGTCTGCTGTAAAGGCCTCGCAGAACAACCAAGATAGGATCCTGTGGCTTTTCTGCATTTTTTTGCATAGTGCCCTGTCCCTGTTGTCTTCTTTGTTGTAATTACCCCACTTGATTGTGTAAATATCTACCCAACATAGCTGAAAGTTTTTTTCCGAAGTCAGGGAAATTGCTTAGCTTACCATTATAACCCAAGCTCCAAACAGGAGCTGAAAAAAATTTTCATTCATTAATTTGCATATTCATTCCATAGTTATACAAGTTACTATGCTAGGTACTAATCACAAAGTCAAAGTGTGTCTGCCTGTTCCTTTCTTTCTAAAAGGTGATGAGGTAATAGCACATTACAGTTCAGTAATAAACCAAGAATATAGTTTGTGTTTTTATGCTACTTGGAAACTGTTTTTAGTTTTAAAATCATGTATATATATATAATATTTAGAAAAGTAGACTAGGAAGTTTTTGTGTTGACTGTCTTTTTTTCTTTTCTTTTTTCTTTTTTTTCTCACTCAGGGAAGAGCCAAACTTGCCTATTTTGACTATGGCGATATCATTTGTAAAAAAGGTGAAATGCCACAAGGAATTTACTTAATTATTTCAGGAATGGCAATTGTAAGGGTCTATTGATTTTTTTTTTTTTTTTTTTTTTTACTTAAAGTGTATTTTGAAACATGTAATTGTAGAATAAGAAGAAATTTAGGTACTGAAAAAGTTTACATTTTTAATGTAATGAAAGCATTTCTACTCTGACTATGACAGCTGAGGGATAGTCAACATCTGAAATGCTGTCATACAAAATGCTGTCATAGTCTTTACTTATTTCTTGCAACAGTCCTGGGAGGAAGCAGGATTTTCAGAATGTTCAAACAAGGAAATCAATACTTGGCATGGCTTGAATTATGCATGCCATGCCAAGGAAATAAGATGAGGATCAGAAATACAACTTTTAATCTGTCCAATGGGAGGCTTTTGTTGCCCAGAGAGACAGGGGGGAGAGAGAGAGAGAGAAAGAGAGAGAGAGAGAGAGAGAGAGAAAGAGAGAGAGAGAGGTCATAGAGTGATGGGGACAAGAATCCTTTGTATTTGCATAATAGTAGTTTAGTAGCTGAATTCATGGGTGAGCCCCAATTTATGAGCCAAATAATTCCTAGATCCTAGATGATGGTCATAAAATGACAAATCCTTGATATGGGAAAATAATATATTTGGCTTTCTGGTTTTGAAATGTGTATATCAGACCTTAAAATATCATGGAAACAAACTACTATAATAAATAGAATACTAACACAATATAACACTTATTTACTATTTGGCACTATTCTAAGCACTTTTCGTGCATCAATTCACTCAATTATTCCACAAATATTTGCTTCATTACCACCATGTGTCAGGCACTGTTAATTCTAGGCATGGGATTGACAAAACAGACACAAATTCCTGCCTTCTTGGAGCTTAATTACTCGTAGTGGGATAAAAGGAGATGGGACAATGAACAAAACAAGTAAGTTTACAGTATATTAGAGATGATGTAGACATGAAGAGATTAATTGTGATTTTTTAAAAGGTAGTCAAGAAAGGCAATATGGACTGGGCACGGTGGCTCACAGCTGTAATCCCAGCACTTAGAGAGGTCTAGGTGGACAGATCACATGAGATCTGGATTTTGAGACCAGTCTGGCCAACATGGCAAAACCCCGTCTCTACTAAAAATACAAAAATTTGCCCAGCATGGTGGCACACGTCTATAATCCCAGCTACTTGGGAGGCTGAGGCACGAGAATTCCAGATCGTGCCACTGCACTCCAGCCTGGACAACAGTCTCGCTCTGTCACCTCGGCTCACTGCAACCTCTGCTTCTTGGGTTCAAGTAATTCTCCTGTCTCAGCTCCCGAGTAGCTGGGATTACAGGCATGCACCAGCAGGCCCAGCTAATTTTTGTGTTTTTAGTAGAGACGGGGTTTCACCATGTTGGCTAGGCTGATGTTGAACTCCTGACCTCAGTGATCAGCCTGCCTTGGCCTCCCAAAGTGCTGGGATTACAGGTGAGAGCCATCGAACCCAGCCATCAACCCTATATTTTACAGAAAACTGATGCACAGAAAAAAAAATAATTCACTTGGCCGCAACTACACATACTCAGAGGTCAAAGATTACTTAGAACCCATGTAGTCTGTCTCCAGTATCCATGTGCTTAGCCATTATACTACTGTATACTCCCATAAGAATTCTGGGAAAAACACACTGCTGCCAGTGTTTATGAAATATGGCAAGTTCAGTACTTAAAAGCTGCAACTTGCTGTAACATGTTTCTTTGAGAGTTTTCCTGCAATGACTAGACTAGCTAAGCCTTCTTAAACTATAGTCCAATGATGCTTGGTCTGAAGAGGTTATATTAGTACTCTTTAGATACCATAACAAATTACCACAAATTTAGTGGCTTATGGTCCTGTAGGTCAGAAATCCAGTGAGTTCTGCTGATTTCTCTGCTTGGATCTCATGAAGCTGAAATCAACATGTCAGTAGGACTGCATTTCCTTCTGCAAGCTCTAGGGGCAGAATCTGTTTCCAGGCTCGCTGAGGTTGTTGGCAGATCTAGTTACTCTTGATAGCTATAGAACAGAAGTCCCTGCTTCTTCAAAGGCTGTCAGCTGGAGCCCACTTTGAGCTCCCAGAACTGCCCTTTCGTCCTTGAATGCAGGCTCTCACGTCTCAGAGCAAGCAAAGGCATGTGGAATCTTTCACATGTCTCTCTCTGGTGGACTCCCTTCTGCTTGCAAGGGCTCACGTGATTACAGTCCCCCCAGTATTCCCATCTGTTGTTCAATCAAATACTAATCTGGCACGGCTGTGAAGGGGCTTTGTACATTTTTCTAAGGTCAGCTGATTAGTAACTTTTATTCCATAAATCATCTTTTTAAGGTAGGCTGATAAGCAACCTTAATTCAACTACAAAGCCCCTTCATTGCAATCCCTAGATTAGTATTTGAACAACAGACAGGAATCTTGCAGGGGGGCTTCCTTTAAAATGCTGCCTACTCAAATGTCATCATCTTTTCTTGGTTTGCAATGAGCAGAGGCATTCTTCATTGCTCAAAGATCCTTTGAATTGCATTCAAAATTACAGCCATTAAAAAAAAATTCAGCCGGGTGCGGTAGCTCAAGCCTGTAATCCCAGCACTGTGGGAGGCCGAGGCGGATGGATCACGAGGTCAAGAGATCGAGACCATCCTGGTCAACATGGTGAAACCCTGTCTCTACTAAAAATACAAAAAATTAGCTGGGCATGGTGGTGCATGCCTGTAATCCCAGCTACTCAGGAGGCTGAGGCAGGAGAATTGCCTGAACCCAGGAGGCGGAGGTTGCTGTGAGCCGAGATCGCACCATTGCACTCCAGCCTGGGTAACAAGAGCGAAACTCTGTCTCATTAAAAAAAAAAAAAAAAAAAAAAATTCAAACTCCTCTGGAAGCATGAATGCCTTTCAAAGTCTGAATGCTAATTGCTTTTGCTCCCTCTTTCCTGTGTCTTGAACAATACCCTGCCTCTTTGATGTTTACAGCTAAACTTTCTGAAAAATTCCGTAATCCTTCTCATCTCAATTCTTGCAACTTCCCCCTAAAATCTGATACCTCTCTTCTTTCTCCAGTTATGCCTACCAGTTATTTTCTTGAAGTAACTCAACCATCCTATGTTTATCCTAAAACCTTTACTTGTTGATATTGCACGATAATTATTCTTAAGCATTCAAAAAAGAGACAAGTCTTTTGTTAACATCATGGCTTGGTTTGGAGGCATATTAATTCATGATATCTGATTTATGTGTCCAAGCAATCAAAAGTTATTTCCACCTGATGCATTAGCCCACTATGGTAAGAATATCTAATGGACTCAATGAGTGATTGCATTAGTTGCATACTATAACTACCAGTTTTGGGGTGATTTTTATATAAGACAGGCATAAGTAGCAAGTTGTAAATAGGGGCCATCTGTAAAACCAATGATTAGAAAAAAAAATCCTTGCCCTGGGGAGTTGAAATGTGAAAGGAATAATGATTTTTTTTTTTGTGAAGCCTAATGCCTTCACACCTGACAAGAGATCTTTACTTTCCACTGGAAAAATTGTGAGAAATAGTGGAAGCTCCTATGGTTTGATCAAAGGGTTTTTAATTTCTTCTTTCGCTTTGCACACGTTTTCCCTTTGCAGTTGCGTGATTTATCTCCTACCTTTGGAATAGGGAGTAGCCAGAGGCCTGATAGAGAGTCCAGAGCTATGTTTACAGAGTTCTGTACGAGTGGGGACGTAATTGGAGAGCTAAGCTGTCTGCTTAAGCGTGAAATTGAATATACCGTCATCTGTGAAACTACTTTACAGGTAGGAAATGGTTCTGTCATGAGTTATTAATTATTCCTCAAGTAAATAAAGCCAGCATCTTTTCTTTCTTTGGGTTTTGACATCTTAGTCACCCAACCAGCTACTGTGAGGTGAGAAGGCAGATTTAGTGTCGCACATGCCAGGCTCTGCCAAACTCCACTGCACCCTGCCTGAGGGAGTAGTTATTTAACCTCCTTAAGTCTCAATGTCCTTGTTTATGAAGTAGAGAGAATACCTACCTTTTGATGTTATAAGGATTCGAAAAACATCTACGTAAAATGCCTGACACGTGTAGGTGCTCAATAAATCGTCACCATTATGACAATAGTGTTTTTTTAAAGAGTAATTTATTTGTTTTTAAAACAACCCCATTAAAAAGTGGGCCAAAGATATAAACAGATACTTTTCAAAAGAAGACATACATGTGGACAACAAGCATATGAAAAAAGTTCAACATCGCTGATCAATAGAGAAACACAAATCAAAACCACAATGAGATACTATCTCACACCAATCAGACTGACTGCTATTAAAAAGTTTAAGAATAACAGATGCTGGAGAGGATATGGAAAAAAGGAACAATTGTACACTGTTGGTGGGAGTATAAATTAGTTCAACCGTTGTGGAAGACAGTGTGATGATTCCTCAAAGCCCTAAAGACAGAAATACCATCGACCCAGCAATCCCATTACTGGGTATATACACAAAGGAATATAAATCATTCTATTATAAAGACACATGCACATGTATTTTCACTGCAGCACTGTTCATAATAGCAAAGACATGGCATCAACCTAAATGCCCATCAGTGATAGACTAGATAAAGAAAATGTGGTACATACATGCCATAGGAGAATATGTAGCCTTAAAAAAGAGTAAGATCATATCTTTTGCAGGAACCATGGATGGAGCTGGAGGCCATTATCCTTAGTAAACTAATGCAGGAACAGAAAACCAAATATCACATGTTCTCACATGTAAGTGGGAGCTAAATGATGAGAACACATGGACACATAGAGGGTAATAACACACAGTGGGGGCTATTAGAGGGTGCAGGGTGGGAAGAGGGAGAGAATCAGGAAAAATAACTAATGGGTACTAGGGTACTGAAATCCTGACTAACAGTCTCTCAGACCACAGTGCAATCAAATTAGAACTCAGGATTAAGAAACTCACTCAAAACCACACAAGTACATGGAAATTGAACAATCTGCTCCTGAATGACTCCTGGGTAAATAATGAAATTGAGGCAGAAATCAAGAAGTTCTTTGAAACCAGTGAGAACAAAGAGACAACATACCAGAATCTCTGGGACACAGCTAAAGCAGCGTTAAGAGGAAAATTTATAGCACTAAATGTCCACATCAGAAAGCTAGAAAGATCTCAACTCAGTACCCCAACATCACAATTAAAAGAGCTAGAGAAGCAAGAGCAAATAAGTCCAAAAGCTAGCAGAAGACAAGAAGTGACCAAGAGCAGAACTGAAGGAGATAGACACACACACACACACACACACACACACACACACACACACACACACACACACAAATGCTTCAAAAAAAATCAGTGACTCCAGGAGCTGATTTTTTTAATTAACAAAATAAATAGGCCAATAGCTAGACTAATGAAGAATAAAAGAAAGAGGAATCAAATAGACACAATAAAAAAATGATAAAGTGGATATCAACCCTGAACCCACAGAAATATAAACTATCATCAGAGAATACTACAAACACCTTTATGCAAATAAACTAGAAAATCTAGAAGAAAAGGATAAATTCCTGGACACATACACCCTCCTAAGACTAAACTAGGAAGAAGTTAAATCCCTGAATAGACCAATAATGAGTTTGGAAATTGAGGCAGTAACAGCATACCAACCAAAAAAAAAAGCTGAGGACCAAATGGATTCACAGCCAAATTCTACCAGAAATACAAAGAGGAGTTGGTACCATTCCTTCTGAAACTACTCCAAAAAAATTGAAAAGGAGGGACTCCTCCCTAACTCATTTTATGAGGCCAGCATCATCCTGATACCAAAACCTGGCAGAGACACAACAACAAAAAAATAAAACTTCAGGCCAATATTTCTGATGAACATTGATGTGAATATCCTCCATAAAATACTGGCAAACCAAATTCAGCAGCACATCAAAAAGCTTATCCACCATGATCAAGTCGGCTTCATCCCTGGGATGCAAGACTGGTTCAACAGATGCAAATCAATAAATGTAATCCATCACATAAACAGAACCAATGACAAAACCACATGATCATCTCAATAGATGCAGAAAAGGCCTTTAATAACATTCAACATCCCTTCATATTAAAAACTCTCAATAAAGTAGATATTGATGGAACATATTTCAAAATAATAAGAGCTATTTTTGACAAACCCACAGCCAATATCATACAGAATGGCAAAAGCTGGAAGCATTCCTTTTGAAAACTGGCACAAGACAAGGATACCCTCTCTCACCACTCCTATTCAACATAGTATTAGAAGTTCTGTCCAGAGCAATCAGGCAATAGAAAGAAATAAAGGCATTCAAATAGAAAGAGTCAAAGTCAAATTGTCTCTGTTTGCAGATGACATGATTCTATATTTAGAAAACCCCATTGTTGGCCGGGTGCAGTGGCTCACACCTGTAATCCCAGCTCTTTGGGAGGCGGAGGTGGGCAGATCACCTGAGATTGGGAATTCGATATCAGCCTGACCAACATGGAGAAACTCCGTCTCTACTAAAAATACAAAAAAAAAAAAATTAGCCAGGCATGGTGGCACATGCCTATAATCCCAGCTACTCAGGGGTGCTGAGGCAGGAGAACAGCTTGAACCCGGTAGGTGGAGGGCGCAGTGAGCTGAGATCATGCCATTGCACTCCAGCCTGGGCAACAAGAGCGAAACTCTGTCTCAAAAAAAAAAGAAAAGAAAAGAAAAGAAAACCCCTTGTCTCAGTCCCCAAACTCCTTAAGCTGATAAGCAATTTCAGCAACGTATCAAGATACAAAATCAATGTGCAAAAATCACAAGCATTCCTATTCACCAACAATAGACAAGCAGAGAGCCAAATCATGAGTGAACTCCCATTCACAATTGCTACGAAGAGAATAAAATACCTAGGAACACAACTAACAAGGGACGTTTTCAAGGAGAACTACTAACCACTCCTCAAGGAAATAAGAGAGGATGCAAACAAATGGAAAAGCATTCCATCCTCATGGATAGGAAGAATCAGTAGTGTGAAATGGCCATACTGCCCAAAGTTATTTATAGATTCAATGGTATTTCCATCAAACTACTATTGACATTCTTCACAGAATTAGAAAAAAACTATTTAAAATTTCATATGGAACCAAAAAAGAGCCTGTATAGCCAAGATAATCCTAAGCAAAAAGAACAAAGCTGGAGGCATAACGCAACCTGACTTCAAACTATACTACAAGGCTACCGTACCCAAAACAGCATGGTACTGGTACCAAAACAGATATATGGACCAATGGAACAAAACAGAGGCCTCAGAAATAACCCCACACATATAGAACCATCTGATCTTCAATAAACCTGATAAAAACAGGCAATGGGGAAAGGATCTCCTATTCAGTAAATGGTGCTGGGAAAACTGGAAAGTTATATGCAGAAAATCAAAACCGAACCCTTTCCTTACACATTCTACAAAAATTAACTCCAGATGGGTTAAAGAGTTACATGTAAAACCCCAAACCGTAAAAACCCTAGAAGAAAACCTAGGCAATACCATTCAGTACATAGGCATGGGCAAAGACATCATCACAAAAATGCCAAAAGCAATTGTAACAAAAGCCTAAATTGACAAATGGGATCTAATTAAACTAAAGAGCTTCTGCACAGCCAAAGAAACTATCATCAGAGTGAACAGGCAACCTACAGAATGGGAGAAAAGCTTTGCAATCTACCCATCTGTCAAAGGTCTAATATCAAGAATTTATAAGTAACTTAAACAAATTTACAAAAAATATCCCATCAAAAAGTGGGCAAAGGATATAAACAGACACCTTTCAAAAGAAGGCATTTATGTGGCCAACAAACATGAAAAAAAGCTCGTCACTGATCATTAGAAAAATGCAAATCAAAACTGCAATGAGATACCATCTCATGTCAGTCAGAATTGTGATTATTAAAACGTCAGGAAATAATAGTTGCTGGCAAGGCTGTGGAGAACTAGGAATGCTTTTACACTGTTGGTGGGAATGCAAATTTGTTCAACCACTGTGGAAGACAGTATGGTGATTCCTCAAGGATCTAGAACCAGAAATACCATTTGACCTAGCAATCCCATTACTGGGTAGATACCCAAAGGAATATAAATCATTCTGCTATAAAGACACATGTACACATATGTTTATTGCAGCACTATTTATAATAGCAAAGACATGGAACCAACCCAAATGCCCATCAATGATAGATTGGATAAAGAAAATGTGGTACATATACTCCATGGAATACTATGCAGCCATAAAATGGAATACATGTCTTTGCAGGGACATAGCTGAAACTGGAAGCCATCATCCTCAGCAAACTAACACAGAAACAGAAAACCAAACACTGCATGTTCTCACTCATAAGTGGGAATTGAACAATGAGAACACATGCACACAGGGAGGTAAACAACACACATCAGGGCCATTTGGGTCTTGGTGGTGGGGCGCTAGGGGAGGGAGAGCATTAGGACAAATAGCTAATGTATGTGGGGCTTAAAACCTATATAATGTGTTGATAGGTGCAGCAAACTACCATGGTACACGTAGACCTATGTTACAAACCTGCACATTCTGTATTTGTATCCCAGAGCTTGAAGTAAAATAAAATAATTTTTAAAATAAAAAATGAAAAAAAAAAGAAATGAGCCAAAGAATTCTCAATCTTTGGAGGCTATCTGATGCAGCAGAGCAGGATTGAGTCTTAGGGGTGTGTGGAGTGGAAGGAAATGTTTTAGCGATTTCATACCATTTTATTTTGGAAGAGGAGAGAAGGCATGAGTTTAGTCACAAGGCTGAATTGAGCTCACTGAAGTTCGTGTAACTTGAACCTGAAAGTGCATCCTTTTTATTCAGCTAAGCTGTTTGTCTCTGGAAACAAAAACCTTGAATGAGCTCACTTTTATCTACCCTGACAATAATAGTAGATAAATTCACATGGCTTAGTTCCGGAATCCTGGGCTTTGGGCTCATGAGCCATATCCTTCATTGTATCTATTGACTGATATGAATTTTTCTGGTCTCTTATTAAAGTCTATAGCTTTAATCAGACCATACATGTTATCATCTTATACTTAGCAAACAACAATTTTCAGAGTACAAATGCTTCTAATGACAAGAGTAGCAAAATTATGCTAGACTTGATAGTTTTTCTGAGAGATAAGATGAAGATGAAATCCACAGGTATCTTGTTTTTTGATGGTCTTGTAATTTAGTTCCAAATCAAGCTGCTATGGCCTGGTGCCTTTTTGTTTCAGGCCTGCTTTATCTCCCTGGAGGATTTATATGAAGCCTTCGATGTCTTCTGGCCATCTCTGGAGTATAAAATATGGCTAAAGCTTGCTCTCAATACTGCGTATCGGTATTTTGAATCAAGTCTTATAGATGAGGTAAGTTACATGATATTAATATTAATAAATTTTTGTGCACTGTATTTTTTACAGAATGCATTTCATATTTTTGAGACAAAAATAGAAAGGAAATGTGTGTTTGATTTTTTTTTTTTGAGACAGAGGCTCACTCTGTTTTCCCAGGCTGGACTGCAATGGCATAATCTCAGCTCACTGCAACCTCTGCCTTCTAGGTTTGAGCAATTCTCCTGCCTCAGCCTCCCAAATAGCTGAGATAACATGCGCTTACCACCATCCTTGGCTAATTTTTGTATTATTAGTAGCGACAGGGTTTCACCATGTTGGCCAGGCTGATCTCGAACTCCTGACCTCAGGTGATCTGCCCACCTCAGCCTCCCAAAGTGCTGGAATTATAGGCATGAGCCACTGTGCCTGGCCCTGTGTCTGATTTTCTAAAATAAGATTGCTGGAATTTTAACTGCTATGTTATCCTGAGTTCCTGTAGGTTGTCAATCCTTTTGTCACAGTTAATTTTCCCAAGCTATATGCAATCATTTCTAAAAAAAAAAAAAAAAAAAAAGTAGATTCAAGTCTGTGTCCAAATCTCCCCTTTTTATAAGGACACTACTCTTTCAAATTAGAGGCCCACCCTATTCCAGTATGACCCCATCTTAACTAATTGCATCTGCAATTACCCCATTTCCATAGGCCACATTCCAGGATACTGAGTTAGGACTTCAGCATAAGAATTGGGTGGGAGGTGGTGTGTGTGTGTGTGTGCGTGCACACACGCAATTCAACCCATAACAACTCCCTCCCAGTTCTAAAGTCTATGATGTTGAACCTTGAAGTATATATAGCTCAGACTCAGTGGCTTGCTTGGTTTTCTGCTAGTCCTAATCACCTGTCAAGTGGAATGTAAGCTTACTGCTAGGTGAACCTCTGAATCTTTTAAGACTCTAGCTCTTGTGCAAATAGAAATCTCCTGAGTCATGGCCAACCACCCTGCTGTGACTGAGAGCTCACAAATTAGGTCTGGGCAACAGTATGCAGGGACCATTAACAGCATAAACACTTGGAATTCAGAAACTTGTCAGAGGCCGTTCTGAATGCTAAATAAATTCTGTCTGTTGGTGCCAGCAGCCGTGTGCCTTCTGACACCCACAAAGAATGCAGATAGATCAGTGAATCTGTTTTCTTCTTGATACCATCTGTCAATTTGTATGATTTATTTTTAAAAATGCAATTTTATTGTAGGACTTAAGGTTTCAGAAGTGTGTGATGTACAATCATGCATACGTGGAAACTTTATCAAGCTATAATGAAATGGCTATTGATAATATGACCATGAAATTTGTTATCATTGTGTATGGCAGTGTAATTGATACTAAGACGGAGGAACCGTATTTTGCACCTTGCATTATACCTAAAACCTGTGAGCAGGTAAGGAGTATCATTTCTAAAGAGTCACTTGATTTTCATGGTGTCCCAAAAATGACTTTAAAACTCAACTGACCACCTTAAAAAGATATGTAACCTGGAATGACCCTGCAGTTCTTACCTGCCTTTTACAAACAGGAAAAAGGTAGCGAGGGCTTCTGTGTACTGTAGTACAGGTGCCCTACACAAGGGTGTGCCCAAGGGAGAGGGAGCTGGAATCTGCCTGCTATCTGCTTGTCATGCCCTTTGCCCTGGCGTGGGACTGTGCCAGAGGAAGGATGAGATGCAGTGAGTTTTTCCTAGTTTACATCAAGGCAACGATGCTGTGTTCTAGCATAGCTCTGAAAATATCTGCACTGGTTCACAAGAAAGGAGTAGAGTAGGGGCCATGTCACTTTGTGGCCATGTTAGGGGCTGTCGACACAACTTGATAGTAGGTCCTGGGCCCTGGGCCTTAGCATTCCATGCCTCTGTAAAGACAAAGGAAGTGTGACCACCTAGGACATAACAGGGCATGGGAAGGGTAGAAGCAAAGTGCCCAATGGCCCAAGCTGCCTGCCATTGGACAAAGGAATGGGAAGGACAAAGAGGCCATGGGAAGAGCTGACATCTCTTTAAAGTTTCTCCCCTTTGGGAGGGACCTTTTCTGCCAGTTCAGACTGTGAAAAGTCATTAGGAAAATTTGTCCTGGAAAAGTTGGTAAACCTAAAAAGTGAATTTTCTCCTTTCAAAACATTCTTATTTTGTAACTTTTAACATTTCAGAGAATGAAGGTAATTTACATGTTTTTAATAGAAAATTAAAATCTTTTTAGATTTGAAACAAAGGGTAGGGGTAAGAGGCAAGGGGGCAACAGGAGTAATGCGTACAGCTTAGTTTGTTAAGAGACCAGGGTTTGGAGTCAGGCACACTTGGACTTAAAACTTGACCCCTGTGCCTACTTATACTTGAGCTTAGATAAGCTGCTTAACGTTTCTGAACCTCAATTTCCCTCTTAGTAAGATGGGGATAAGGTCAGCAGCCATCTTATCAGGTTATTGTGAGGATTAAATGAGATAATAGGTGGTAATCTAAAAATGACAGTTCTAATGAGTACTAGTGTGCTGCTGGCATTCCGGGAGGCAGCTTTTATGGCACATGGGACAAATGGTTTAAGAACAGAAGATAGTCTGGCCATCCTGGGAATGCTGGGCCTTGAGCCCTTGAGCATCAGTGCAGGAGTAAAAGTAGCTTCCTGGATGCTGGGGATTCCCTGCTTTCCAAACTGGGAATTTCCAGTCTAGTTACAAGTAAGGTGTAGACATTTCCTTTCTGGTGTCCAGATATGCAAAGACAATTTGCTGGTTGCTTCCCAACAACAAAGAGGATTTGAAATTTAGAAGACAGAGCCAAGATTGAAGACCCAGCTCTAGGCTTTGGCTTATTTTTCATATTCTTTGGAAAGGTTAGGAAGCAGCCAGGTTAGAGATCAAAGAGTGCCCTTTTGACTAATTTTGACTCTTCTCTTCTAGGTTCAGGGAACTTCTGATTTAAGCAAGCTGCTGATAATCCAAGCATCTGAGCCTGACCGCAGCAATAGTAAAACCAATGTCATGGGTAAGGGATACACCTTTACCAGTAGGAAAACTATTGAGAAGGAACTTCAATATATGTGAAATTCCCTTACCTCTAAGAAACTGATTTGAGAGGGCACTATGTGGGTTTATCATTATTCCCCATCCTCGGGCCCACCCTGGCCGCCACATTGCTCTGGGAAGTCACACATGAGAGACTTCCAGACAGTTAAATCCAGGTGGCTCCTTCCTCTGCCATGTCCCTCCCTCCATACACTAGTCAAGGGAGAGCAGCTTCTGTGGTGTACTCTATTGCTGCCCTGGTAGGCTGGAGCCACATGGTGCTGGCAGTGCAGGAATGGGGAGGGAACAGACTCTTTCGGGCCCAGGTACAGAGAACTGGTTTGCCCCCAGCAACTGAAGGGAATAGGAACCCTGATCAGTGAGTATTCCAAACGTGACCATGGCTACAAGTCAAGTGACTTGCCTTGAGTACGCTTTGATAGTCACTGAGTAGTTGTAGTTCCGTTTATTAGCACCCAACTGCATGCATCATGGTGCTAAGCATTATACAGAGAAGCCTTGATAGGAAGAGCTTGGTCTAGAAAAAACACACTGAAGATCTTTCATCTATCTTATGCTCAGCATCCCTGCCCTCCCAAGCCCAATGTCAATATTCTCCCAGCTGCCCCAGCTTGAATACACACTCTAGGTTTGTAACTCTAATCTGCACCATCCCAGTGTTTACAATTCATGGGATCCACCAGTTTAAATATTATGCAGTTCTTAATGGATTGTTACTTTGGGGGGAAGATTTACATGATTTCAAATAACAGTGCAAAGAGTGATATTTTCTCTTATATGTCAGTATTTCTCAATTGCATACTTTTTATAAAATGCAGCCCCAGTGTGTGCTGGGTACTGTACTAAGTGCTAGTTGGTGAGTGAGCCAGATGAGGTATTTCCCTTCTCGGGGAGGAGAGACAGATATTCTATAAATAATTATGCTTTTCCCTTGGCAGCAATTTGAACCTCAGAGGTTCCTGTGGCTCACCTTCCATCCCCTCTTCTAGGGTCATGTGCAGCTCTGTGATTTAGGGAGCTCCCTCTGCTCCTGGGTCACCCGTTCAAGTTGGCTAGCACTGAGATGACCATTTCCCCAGCCTGTGCAGTCTCTTAAGGTCTGCCACTCTACTGCTTCCAAATCCCCCTTGGGGCACAGGTGTCTATGGCAAGGCTGGGAACTCAGGGCCCAGTGTCGGCCCCCTTGGGGCACCCTAAGAAGGGCTATTGAGCCAGAGATCTTAAGCACTGTCAGGGAGCAGGGCACAGGTTCCTACTGTTTTTGTGCCCACAGGCCTCTTTTCTTCATGAGGTCGTCTGTAATCATTTTCAGATGGAGAGAAACACATCACTTTGTATTCCCATGGGTTTGAGACAAAAGTCACAAATGGCAGGCCCGTGCACTGGAGCGAGCCAGAACATTGAATTTGACCCCCTCTTTTTTTCTTTTAAAGTTTCAAAATTAGTTGCCAAGTAGAAACAAATGTTTTGCATTTTAAAAATGCAGATTTTGAAGTTTTCATGCAGACACTCTGCAGCTTGCCACGGTCCGCACTGCTCCCTCTCGCCTTTACCCAGCCCACTTCAGCTGTTTACATGATCTGCCTATTATCATATGAGTTTGGCAGCTCTTATATTGGACTTTAGGGAGCCTATTACAAACCTCTGAGGGAAGAAAATAAAGGGACATTTGCGAGGGGGAAGGGAAAAGGGAAACTTACAGGGAGAAAGCAAACAGATTTTTCAAAATATGTCCTTGCTGCCTTTCCTCTTAAATTCCTAATTTACTTTTTCTGTTCAATGCTTGGATTTGGTTAGCCTCAGTCGACCCAAGTCTTCAAACAACCAGGAGAGTATATAACTGGAAGACAAAAGATGAGATAATAAACTTGACACTTTGATTAGATTTTTTTTCTTATTGCAAATATTGAACTACACAGCTAAAATAGAGTGAGGTAAAAATAGCAATATGTAGGTGGTGAGAAAAGACACTCCAAGGTACAAGTGATTAATTTGGACACATTAGAATAAAGCCAATCTGAATTACTTAAAAATTAAAGTTACAGAATATTTTTGAAAGACGTAATTTTGCCCCACCCCATTTCCATCCCCCTCACTGATATTTAGGCCAAAGAGTAGGTATCTATGGAATTTGGGGTAAAGAGGGACATATATCATGCACATGTTTAGACACTAGAGTCCATCCATGTTTCTGCCTTTGGAATGTGGATTCCTGGATGTATGGATTGCTAGGCTTGCAGTATGGGGAGTCATAGGCTGATCATAGGCATCTTCCTAGAGCACCAATTTTACTTGAGCATCTTTTAAAGAAAAAGGTTAACTCATTTAACTGGTAGGTTATTTAAATCATTTTATATTAAAAAACATACTTTCGAGTAGGATGACAAATTTGCATGCATTTTTAAGATAAAACAAGAGACTTCAAAACATTTTGTTACGGAGAGGCACGTAGATTTTTGCCCCCACATCTTTTTCTACTTTCCTCAGTGACCAGGACAAATTTAGAGAAGTTTGAGAAGGCTGGAAATCGTGCCTAGAGCTGAAGAGGAACGTGGGCCTGCCATATTGGACTAGGACAGAATAGAGACAAGTTTGGTGGTGGCGGGCGGGGGACAGCCTACAAGGCTTGTGACTCCAGATGTCTCTATTAGGACTCCTGTTTGGGCTACAGCAGACTGCTGGGTGGACTGGAGGATCAGATGGTTCTGACAGGGTAATAGGATGCTAGGCAAATGCAGAAGTGGGCCAGGTAGCAGTTATGGTGCTGAGCACAGGCTTCAGGGACCTGTAGCACCCTCCCTTCTCCCAGCCAGGTGCTAAGTCATCCCAAGTAAACAGCTTTAAGAGAAGTCCCTTGGCCCACCTCATCCCCAACCAGACAGCCACCCTGAGACCCTTCTAATAGCATTGTTGATACTGCCACTGTTATTTATGATAATCAAGTTGGTTTGCAGTATATTTGTTGGGGGAAGGAAAGTTGCATTCATGAAATTTATGGTCAATAGTTCCTTTAAACAAGGTAACTTGGTTCTTTTCAGGCAGCTCTTCTAGGGCTTTCCTTTCCTCTCTCTTAAAGGGACCCTATTTCACAAATGGAAATTAAGAGTCAAATAATTGAGCTCCTCATTTGTTACTATCTTGTCCAGGCCCCATTACTTAAAAAGAGTCTCATTCCAATTTACAAAAAAAGTTTCCAGTAGCCCTGCAATCAGTCATAAAGTTAATTAGAATTCAACTTGTGAAACATTTCTCTTCTTCTTAAACACACCTTTGTTAGACTACTGTCATTGAATTAATGTAGTATCTCTTCACAAGATGACAGTGTAGAGATGCACATGTGATTAATTACGTGCGTCACTCGAAACCCGTGACATGAAGATCTTTGAGGAGAAATGTTTCAGATAATAAAATAGAAATGCTTAAATGAGTTTTATGGCTCCATTTAACAGGTAAGAAGTTTTTCCTAAAATGCTTATAGTCTAATATTTAACTTTTGACTTTCTTTTATAGTTGAAAATTGGATACCACTTTAGAAGAGGGTATTAATGGTACAAATACGACGTGTGGAGTCAGGTTAAAGACGAAGCTACTTTCCTCGCTCAAATGCTAAAGTATTATCTGCAATGAGTTTACTTAGAAGCTACTGAAACAGGTTGCTGCATTTATTTTATAAGCAATGGATGGACTACTGTAAAAACTCTTAATTTTAAGTAGCTGCATTATATTTGAGATGTTAAAAAATTCTTCAAGATAATATGATACACTGAAACATATGTCCTACCAAATAAAACCATTTCCAGCTAAGAGCAAATTTTAACATAGTGCATTATAAAAAGTGTTTTACAACTGATATATTACTCTTTAAAGCATAGAACCTGTAATTTTCATTTGTGAAATTGGTATAATTAGTGCCTCATTAATATTTTCCAGAGTATAGCTATTCTCCCCTTCCCAATTTGGTAAATATTGAAAAACGGAATTATATTCCACAATCTTAAGTAACTTTCAGTAAGTAAGTAATTTTTGCTTTTAGTAAAATTTAGGAGAAAATAATATTCTCATATTGCATAGTACTTTTTGATGTCACCTTTCATTTTATTTTTAAAAATCAAATAAAGTTGAGTTTTATGGTATGTTTATTGTTAGAACCCATTATTCCATTTTATCTCAACAAGACTGAAAGAAATACATAATATGTTAGAAGAAAACCATAATAGAGGTGTTACAGGAAAGGGGTCAGATTCAGACCCCAAGAGAGGATTCTTGCATCTCGTGCAAGAAAGAATTTAGGGCAAGTCCACAGTGTAAAGTAAAAGCAAGTTTATTAAGAAATTAAAGGAATAAAAGAATGGCCACTTCATAGACAAGAGCAGCCCTGAGGGCTTCGGGTTGCCCATTTTTATGGTTATTTCTTGATAATATGCTAAACAAGGGGTGGATCTCCTTTTTAGACCATATAGGGTGATTTCCTGATATTGCCATGGTGCTGTAAACTGTCATGGCGCCGGTGGGAGTGTAGCAGTGAGGACGACCAGAGGTCATTTTCATCGCCATTTTGATTTTGGTGGGTTTTGGCTGGGTTCCTTTACTGCAACCTATTTTATCAGCAGGTTCTTTATGACCTATATTTTGTGCTGACCTCCTGTCTCATTCTGTGACTCAGGATGCCTGAACCATCTGGGAATGCAGACCAATAGGTTTCAGCCTCATTTTACCCAGTTCCTATTTAAGATGGAGTTGCTCTCGTTCACGCACCTTTGACAGAGGTAAGAATAGAAGAGAATACAAGAGGAGAGGTTCAAACTATTAAGAATCTTCTGGATACCTAGCTTAATAAGGCAGTATTTCTTAGCACAGTCTTTGGAACACCTGTGTGTCAATAAATATGAGGTGTTTTTGCACATTACAGAAGTCTGACCCTAGTGGCATAACCACATAGGGGTTCCTCTTTCCAGTTTAACAGGATGTCTGGAAATAGGCGGACAGGACTGGTGCAGCTGCTTGAGGATGTTATTATGGACCCAGCATCCCAGTGGCCTACTTCTCCTTTATCCTTGGCTTGTAACATTTATCCTCATGGTGGCAAAACACCTGTTAACACCAGGCATCCCATTTGTTTTTCAGGAGTAGGGCTGAGAGCTTTCTCCTAGAGAGGCTTTGCCTTTTCAGTTAGGAAGGGACCTGACCCTAGGCCAGAACTGTCACATCACCACATCTATTTCAAAATTCACCTTGAGATGAACCAGCACCTCACCTTGCTACCCTTAATGTAATCCTGGTGTTCTTAGTAAGGCTTAAGAGGGAAATGGGTATTGGTTGAAAAACAGCAGTGTTTGTTGTACTCTGTTGCCTGGGTTGTTAAAAGTGAATTCATGAGCTGGGTGTGGTGGTACGTGCCTGTAATCCCAGCTACTCAGGAGGCTGAGGCAGAATCCCTTAAGCTCAGGAGTTGAAGACTAGGCTGGGCAACATAGTGAGACCCTGTGTCTAAAATATTGTTTTAAAGTTAAAGAAAATGGATTTATAGCTACCTATCGAATCAATCCCTGGGGTTAGGCCTCTGGGCTCTGCATTTTAATGTGCTCTTCGGGTGGTTTCGTGCAGATTGAAGCCTGAATTTCACAAGCATAGGTGATATAGGAGTAGAAGAAAACATGTCTGTTTGTTTAGGAGGTGGTACATCACCGTATATTTGAGACTACTGGAGAACAATATTTCATCTCATGTGTATGTTAGGATACTGTGGGCTATAGGTACCAGAAAACCCAACTCACACTTAAATACTAAAGAAAATTTTAATTTTATGCAATGCAAGTTGAGAGGCAGGATGTTTGTGATTGGTAGACTCAGTGAAAATCAATATAAGTTTTTCTGTCTCTCCACTCTGCTGTTCACCTTTCCAGCCTCATTCTATGGCCGATTCACTACTCCTAGGTTGTAAGACAGCTACCAGCAGCAATTAATGCTTCATCTTCTCTTGTTCATATCCAATGGGAGCAAACAAGTGCTTACAATTGCTCTCCAGAGTGAGAAACAATTCTAGAAACCGCCAACAATCCTCTCTTTCTGTCTCATCAGCAAGAAGTGAATTACATGGCCATTTCTGAAAGACTAAAGGGTAGCAATGGCCTTTTAACCAGTTAATGCAATGCCCTTTCAGCTAGAATCAAAGTTGTCAGCATTTCAACTTGCACTTCTTTCAAAGAGATAGGGTCAAATGGGTGTTGGAGGGAGTAAATCTCTATGCCAGTTCACTGCACCCAATAATCAGCATCCTGACTTGGCCACTTAGGCACAGCCATTCTGGCTTCTCAGCCCTTTGCTGAGCTTCTCACTGCAGATCCCTATCCTTTAGGTGGAGGTTGCGGGTGAGATCAGAATTTTGACAAGAAGACCAGAGTTACAAGTCTATCACTTTGGTCACCTTAGAAGACTGGCCAAAGCATTTCTTAACTCCGAGGTTGCATAGACTTGCTCTTTTTTTGAGACAGAGTTTCACTCTTGTTACCCAGGCTGGAGTGCAATGGCACGATCTCGGCTCACTGCAACCTCCGCCTCCTGGGTTCAGGCAATTCTCCTGCCTCAGCCTCCTGAGTAGCTGGGATTACAGGCACGCGCCACCATGCCCAGCTAATGTTTTGTATTTTTTAGTAGAGACGGGGTTTCACCATGTTGACCAGGATGGTCGCGATCTCTTGACCTCGTGATCCACCCGCCTCGGCCTCCCAAAGTGCTGGGATTACAGGCTTGAGCCACCGCGCCTGGCGACTTGCTCTTAAGCTGCATTTCTTTCATAGCTGCAGTAGCCATATATTAATTCACTTTCTATAAATAAATCATTGGATACATAATGAAATTTATTCTTTATGAAAATTAAGGGCAATTCGCAATAAGGGAACCACTCTCCCTGCCTAATAGTGTTATAGTGATGTGTCACATAACAGTGTTTCAGACAAATGATGGATCACATATGATAGCAGTCCCATAAGTCTTTAATGGAGCGTTTATAGAAACCTAATATATTGGACTTGGTGTTGGCCTTGCAGATCAAGTACGGGAAATGACTGATATTCAGCGATGATGCTGGGACATTTGGTTTTAAATATGATAAAATATATAGAAAATAAAAAAATATATACCTCCTAGGTTTGTATAATATACTCTATGATGTTCACACCACAAAGAAATTGGCTAATGGTGCTTTTCTTAGAACATATCCCTGTCA